CTTATTAGAGACTCATTTTAACACCATCTCTTAAGTTTTGAAAATCCTGCATTAATACGCATTTAATTGTTGTATTTTGAGTATGAGGAGGTATTGTAAATCCACTACACGATATACATTTTGTGTCATTCACTGAAAAGAAACCTATTAAAAATGTTTATTTTGAAGAAAAAAAAACTATTTTCCCAACATTTTTTTTTGGTGGAAAAAAGTAATTTTCCCACAAAAGCACAGTAATCTTCTTAAGCTTTGCATGGTTAATATCTATATTTCCGAAAAAAAATCCAATTTTTTAACTCATCGTAAAATCATGTAGGCTTTTAAAAAAAATCACGAAAACTCCATATCTTATTTATTTCACGTTTACACACGTGGATCTAGAGGGGGGGGGGGGGTCAGGGAGGTGTCCAGTCCTCTTTGCAGCAATTTGCGGAGTTATTTATGTATGAGGGCTGTTCGAAAATTATTGAGACATTTACTTTTACTCCATAAAAGTCAGAGATAAATTCATGAAAATTCGTCAACATTTTATAAAGAACGAATAAAACAAATGTGCAAAATTTCTAATTTATAAGATAATTAGACAAGTTTCGGTGAAATTATAAATATGCATGTGTCTATCGACCTAGAGCAGTATCGCTTCTTCATTTTCACGTCACGTCAGCCGTGAAGTGTCATATACAGGTTGACTTAGCATCATGCAGTACCGATTTATGCAACGCGGGTCAACGTTATTTGGTCCGTAATAGTTGATGGTCGTCAAGAGCTTTTGTTTTTACTCTGGTTGAATTATTTATAAGAAAAAATAAATATACCAATGAAAAAATCAAACCCATAGACATGTTTTTTTTTCTCTCATTGTTATTGTTTAATTTAGCAGGTCATTTAGTCTGGAAAAGAGTTCACCATAGCGCTACACAAAATTTTCAGTATGATCGGTGCGCCGCCTTGACGTCAAAATTCTTTGTCGTCGTTATCCGATTTCTATACCGTGCTTAGATTTATTTATTTATGCACAAAATGAAGTCAAAATCATATTGCAAAAGTATATATATAAATTGAATTATTTTCGGTCTTACTATGGATCCACCAAGAATTTGAACGTTGGTGTTAAATATTTTCAATATCTGATTTCCTGACTGCGCCGGGTACCCCTACCATTGACACATTAATATACCATTGAAAAGAAGAAAATAAAATATTTGTAAAATATTTTTTGCTTTTATTAATTCTTAGTGTTTGTCAAATGTATATGCAAATTTTCACCGAAAGACGTTCATTAGAAAGAATATACACAATGTCTCAATAATTTCCGAACAGCCCTCGTACAAAACCTAGAGTAAAGTAAGTGAGAAATGAAAATGACCTTGGACCCCTGTTAAAGCGTTAAGTTAGTACTTGGTAGGAAGAACCATATTTATGGGGTCTGGGAATTGAAGGGAAGGACCCCCCAACCCCTAAGATTTTCAGGTTTGGGAAATAAAAGTTTTCATTTTTAACTTGTCAACAAGTTTCTCAGATGGAAATTTTGTTTACTGATGACTCTGCCTAACTCCCCCTTCCCCTTTGAAAAAAAAAAAAAAAAAAAAAAACACGGACCCGCACCTACGTCCAGAAAAAGTTGTTAACGTCCAAAAGACGAAAACGGTTCCATTTGATTACGTAAATATCTTGAAAGTCAATTTTTCCTGATATTGAATCTAGAAAAAGAGAGGATTTTACCTTAGGGACTAGGAGCAAAAAATTATTAAGTCTCTCGAAAGATTCTGAGAGTCAGCTGTCAGGGAAACTTGACTCGGAAAATGACTGCAATTTTACAATTATTACGCCAGTGTATGACAATGACAATTAATGTTTAAACAATGAATGATAAGATTTCTGAAAATTTCAAAATGAATATCGATGGTACTTGTCTTTCTTTGTCGGGAAAAATAAAAAGAATCCGCATTTTAGAAAACAAGTACTACAATTTTTAGGAACAAACGGAATTGCGTATAAGGTACATGTAATGTCATAGAAGAAATAGAAAAAAGTCTTTATTTTTTCGTGATGATGCATATTTTGTATTATTTTCTCGATTCTTAATAATTTAGTGGACTAGTCCATCATATGCCCAGTTACATATATTTACACGTATATAAAATTGTAAGGGATTCTCTCTCTCTCTCTTCCTGTATCAAAATCGAGGGGGTGAGGCGGGAGATGTAAATATTCCAAAATAAATACATTTACAAGAACATTTATTTCTTTTCTTAGACCCTTAATTTTTGAGTTTAATCAGATGGTATGTTGTGAGTAGTTAATATTTTATAAGTAGATTTAAGATGCATGTTTTCTACAAGGTCCCTAAAATTAAATTCATGTAATTTTTCAGTTAATGTATATGTGCCCGTATTGTGTACAATGTATGTAGAACAACACTGTATGTTGCATTGTACACAATACGTATGTTTATGTTTTTGAGCATGTGCAAAGCAACGTTGTCAAGGGCTTAGTCCTGAGACTAAGCGTATTGTTTACGACTAGTCTTACGCTACTTCGTGAAACTCAAATTACGCCCGACTAAATTTTGGCGTTAGCCCCGGAAGTACACCCAAGTTAGGCCTTAAATTTACGACTTTTGATGAAACGGGCCCCTGGTGTCTTAAATGCATGATAAACATGTTTGGTAAATCATCTATAACATACGTTACTATGGAAACAAAGTATTCAAAAGTAATAATTTTGTTCATTTAATTTTATAAAGTCATACACTTAAGAATAAAAACAATTATAGGTTGAAATGCAAGAAAATAATAGAGAAGAGATCCTTGTAACACATACCAAGGACAAAATATGATATTTCTTATAGGTTCGCAATGGTTGCCATGGTTTTAATACCATGAAGGGATTTTAAATTTACTCTCTTAGTGTTTTAATCTTATCCTGTCTTTTTAAAAAGCATATTTCTATATAACTGAACATCAATTTTTAAAGGCCTTGATGTGACCCTAATTTTCACATTTCAAAAAATTCAATTTCAATTCTTTAAATAGTGCGTTGCTATGGAAATAAGGCGAAAAAACATGCATAAAAATCTGAAAAATACTCTGTTTCCTTGGATACGTACCGTTGTATGTAGATTCCCAAAACTTTAATGATTGATATATGTGAACAACTAACCTGACTTTCAATTTTTTGATTATCACCCAATCTCTCACTGGATGCAAAAAGCTGGCACATAGGGTCTAATATTGACAAAAAATTAACAAAATCGAACATTTTCTCTTCTTGGTAACCATAGCAACAGTGTTGTATTTTTCAACAACCTTTATCAATAAATGATATTCAACTTTAGTTCTTCGAGATAAGTACTATTCAAGTTGATTCAAATTATATTTTTCTTGATTAAAAGGTTAGTGAATTCCTAAAGCAGCAAAAAAAAAAAAATCACTTTAAACAACTAGTACGTTGTTTCCATGGTTACACTGCAAAGTAACAATTAATCTCAATTTTTCTTATGTTGTCGATGTTGCAAGGTCGTAAGGATGCATATGTGCCAGTCATGAATTTTATTGTTTTTCCTTACGACAGTAACATTAACCCAATCATAGCAACAGATTTTGCATGGTGACACTGTGTTACCATGGCAACCATGAAAGTTATTTTTAGAATAATATTGCCAATACCTAATTACATGAGGTCAAATATTTTTCATTGTTTTTCTTACGTTGTTGATTGAGTTTGATCATGTAACATCTATCATTTGTGACTATAGAGCGTCTAAAATGTATTCCAAATGTACCCATGGTTACCACTTACTTAGAGATAAATTCTAAATAGTTTATTTATAGCATAAGTGACAACAAGGTGTCATGTTTTTGGGAGAATGGTTTGTTTGTTTTTCTTAGTCTTTATTAAGGCTTAATAAAGATTTAAAGTAGCTGAAAATCTCATTTTTTTCAACTTTTCTGGCTGTTACCATGGCAACCAAGACACATAGCAACGAAATTTTATTTGATATATGTTTCTGGTGTCAAGTTGTAATAATGGGCAAAGTATCATCAAAATCGGTGACCGTGCGTGGCAAAGAAATTTCAGTGGTTACAGAGAATCGCTATTAAAAGTCATTAAAGACAGAGAAACAAATGGGGCAAATTTTGATCTTCTTCAAATTCTAAAAGTCCTCTCTTAATGTGAAGTATTATAAGATCCACTGGGTATTTAATGAATTTATGTACATTTGACGAAAAGTCTACAATATCCAGTCCGAGGCACACTCAGGTGCTTGGGGACGGACCCCCCCCCCCCCCCCCACGTGTTCCGTACCCCAAGGGTTCTTTATCTTTTTTTTTTTTTAAATAAAACATTTTTCTACGACACATTTACAAAGTATTACAAGTGAAACCTAAAACTAGTTTTTATAAAATTTCACACTCTCTGATAATAAAAGAGAATGTGTGAAATCTGTGAAATTCACTAGGAATAAGAGTAATTTAAAGTTCCTAAGTGGGGGTGTCATGCCCCCAACCCACTCTTGAAACGGAGACAAGAATAACTTTGTTGTGTCCCCCTTTTTTTATAGGAATAATAAAAACATCCGAAAGGTATAGTACGGTCTTGTTTGTTGCTTTTTAAAGGTCTTTATCACTAAGCTGGAAGATACACAGTCCCCCAACTGTGCCCCCACTTCATGGTCGAAGTGGTAATGTAGTAACTAGCAAGTGCTCGTAGGATGAAACTATTTTTGCTTGTTAAAGATTCTGTTGCAAAACTTTGAGGCACTATTCTCTGCTGACCCCCCCCCCCCCCATTTTTTTTTTCAAGTTTGTGACTGATTTTTACACATGTATATATGATAAGAACTTGTAATGTCGGTAAATGTAATAAAATGTTTGCGATGCTTACAGATAAATTTGATGAATGACGCATAACTTAAAATTGAAAATAAATAAATAAATGGACACAGAACTTGATGCATCCGGAATCTCATCGATATTGGTTTTCTTTTTATCTTCAAATTAAAACAAAATGGCGACCTTCTTGAGAAGGACAAGTCGGCTCCATCAACAACTGATTGGAGCCAAACGCTTTATTCAGCGCCATTCCATTCGATGTGTATCTACTTCTGACAAAAAAGAAAGCATCTCTTTTACCCCTGCCGACATAGCAGACGAAACTAAGCGAAAAGATCTCCACAAACGCTTAGAGGAACACTTCAAAGATGATAATTTAGATTCACCCAAGGTAAGCAAATCATTAATGTGTTCAACAGGTCAGGCACAATCACTAGATTTAGCTACGTAGGTAGAATTACCTACCGTAGCTTTATTTACCTACCTCAGGTATTATTTAGCTATTTCAATCCAATTTTTCACAGTTTTGCTTTTTATTTAATAAAGACAAAAAGTCGCAAGCATATGACTATTAATATTTATACTAGGGATGTTTAAAAAAGGAATCTAAAGCAGATGTATTTCTAGTGTTTGAGTAACTGTCCACAACTTGTGTGCGATGAGGCGTGGATAAGTATGATTACTTCACATGTGTTGAATAATTACCAATCCATTATCATGTTAACCAGAACTGGTCTTCTTTGTTATATCATTCAAGAAGTAACTGTTAGGTCACAAATTAACTGTTGTATATAACCCTATAGCTTTCAGAACTTTGATTGCAATTGCGCAGAAAAAGACACATTTTCAAGAGTGATTTTTTCATGAATTGTTTTCAGATGAGTTTAAAGTTGAAAATTATCACTGCATCAAATTGGGATTTTCTGTACATTCTGAGAAAAATGATAATTCAAGAAAAAAGTTTGAATTGGTAGCTAAATAAAGCTACTTCAGGTAGGTAAATAAAGCTATGTAGGTAATTTAAGCTACATAGCTAAATCTAGTGATTGTACCAGACCTGTTCAACCTTAATTTCATATGACATTTATTGTTGAACTTCGAAAATATGTATCGATAAACAACAGTTTGTTATTGAAGCCAGATACATAAATAAATGTTATTGATTAAAGCGTTAATAGATCTAGTATATTTTCTGCAAGGTTTGCAGTGTTTGCAACTATAACAAAAAATCACATACAGTGAAAAAGTTCAAATAGCAACTGGATTATATGTTTAATGAGTTTTTAATAGAATGCTAAATTTAGGAAAGATGAGGCAAAATAAACAACTGAATTTGTTAAATTTCTTTGTAAACAAAATAATTTACAAAAGGAGTAGGCTCTGCAGGTCTGTAGCACACTAGGTTTCTGTTCAGCTTGTAAGCTGACCGACTCCAAACCCCCATCCATCAACTCGTAACCAAAAGGCAAATTGCAATTTGTAACCAAGACGCTGGTTTCTAGTTGACTTTGCTCTTTGGTAAGTTGTCGTGTGGTTCGAGTTGACGTGGTTAAGAGTCAGTCAGATTGTGAGATGACTTGATACTGCCCACGTGTCTAAAAAACTGACCAGCAAGCTTGAGATCCAGCTATTGATAAATTGTATTTGTAATTGTGCACAAAATATGTGCAAGGTTTGTGAGATATCTTCATGATCTTTGTATTTTAAGCAACCATCTCAAAATGTTAGTGTGTGATCCTAACTTAAATAATTTAAATGTGCCAGGGAAAAATTTGCTTGCCAATAACATTTAGAGATGACAGCTTAAAAGTATGGAAGAATAACTTTTGAATTGTGCACATTTTTTGTGCACAAATATGTAGTTACTTTGCATAATACATAAATTTGTAGCTCTTGTCCAGTCAGTGAGCTACAGATCTGCAGCTTAGTGTTCATGTTCTAGATATTGTATGGTAAATTTAAAGTAAGTATAAAATTTGATTTAAGATTTTAAGTTTAATTTTAAATTTAAGATTTAATATTTAGCAATCATTTTATTTTAGTAGATTAACTGTACATGAATTTATTCTAAATTGATTTTAGCTAGATAGGAGGAAATAAATAATTCTGAAATTCTTTTTTTGCAGAACCGGATTTATTATGGGTTTGAGGAAAATAATGCTGAGGTAGACAAGTTCCACTATCACTCTTCATGGATTTTTTGGTTTGTTTGCCCTCTAGCTCTTGGTATTGCTGTTTTCAACTTTGCTTTAAATGATGCAGGGTAGGTACATGTAAAATGCTCACTTTCTGTATAATGCCCTCTCTATTTATCAACTTCATAAAATGAAATGGTTGCATGCCTAAATGAGAAGGATTTGTCATTGTTAAACACTTATTAAATTAAATTGTTATTATATGTATACATATTCAAACTTCTTAATATGAATTATCCTTGAGTAATTCATCAGAAGTCAAGTGATTGCTTGCTATATTTTCACTCAGACTGCACCGGAAATTCTGACAAAGCTGCCATGACTTTGTACTGGTTTAGGGTACTGTAAATGTATATACCGGTATATATATCTATTTATATCTTATAAATTTATATATATATATATATATATATATATATATATATATATATATATATATATATATATATATATATATATATATATATATATATATATATATTATGTAGATATTTATGTGTGAATCCCAAACAAAGTTATGTCTGGACACTAACACCTTTGGGTTAAAAGAAAAAAATTAAAAAATGTCTATCTGACCTTTTTAGCTCACCTCGACGAAGTCGAGATGAGCTTTTGCTATACCCCCGGCGTCGGTGTCGGCATTAGCGTCAGCGTCCCAGGTTAAAGTTTTAGGAGCAAGTCCTATTCCCAAGTAACTATAAGCCTTACCTGGACCAAACTTGCATGGATGATGCATCTAGGGATGGACACTACAAAACTTGCTTCGGATGCTGGAACAGACCTAGATTTTCCAGATGAGTGACCAGGTTAAAGTTTTAGGAGCAGGTCCATTCCCAAGTAACTATAAGCCCTACCTTGGCCAAACTTGCATGGATGAGGCATCTAGGGATGGACACTACAAAACTTGCTTTGGATGCTGGATCTGACCTAGATTTTCCAGATGAGTGACCAGGTTAAAGTTTTAGGAGCAGGTCCATTCCCAAGTAACTATAAGCCCTACCTTGACCAAACTTGCATGGATGAGGCATTTAGGGATGGACATGACCACACTTGCTTCGGATGCTGGATCTGACCTAGATTTTCCGGATGAGTGACTAGGTTAAAGTTTTAGGAGCAGGTCCATTCCCAAGTAACTATAAGCCCTACCTGGACCAAACTTGCATGGATGATGCATCCAGGGATGGACACTACCACACTTGCTTCGGATGCTGGATCTGACCTAGATTTTCCACATGTGAGACCAGGTTTAGATTTAGGAGTAGTCTCGTTCCCAAGTAACTATAAGCCCTACCTGGACCAAACTTTCATGGATGATTCATCTAAGGATGTACACTAATCAACCTGCTTCGAATGCTGGATCTGACCTAGATTTTCCACATGAGTGAATTTTAGCCATATTTTAACCAAATTAGCATGGATGTTGTATCTAAGGATGGACACTTCCAGACTTGCTTTGGATTCTGAATCTGACATACATTTTCCAGATGAGTGACCAGGGTAATTTTTTTTGAGTAGCTATATAATGTTATGGCCTTTTATGATTAAACTTGCATAGATGGTGCATCTAAGGATGAAAACTTCCAGACTTGCTTTGGATGTTGGAACTGACCAAAATTTTCTTGATTACTAAACAGGTCAAAAGTTTTTTGAGCAGGTCTATAATTAAATCAAACCTGCATGGATATTGATCTTGGGATGTACCCTAACTAGATAAAAAATATGATGTGAAATTTGCCTTACATGTAGATAACATTCATCGAGGTGAGCTTCGTAATCTTTGATTACCTATGTTTTTGATATATGTTTATTTTTTTAATATGTTTATTTATATTGTGGAATTATTTATGGCAAATTTAAAAATCAAAAGCATCTTCTCTGAACCCCCCCCCCCCCCCCAATAAAATTCATATAAAATAATTTAGGAGTTTATATATGAATCTTTCCATTAATAAATCATATTTCAAAGTAAATTTCTTAAAGATCCATTAAATAAAATTTTAGTGAAGCATTCCTCCTTACAAATTAAAAAAAATTATTTGAGGTGGGGTAGTATGGGATAGGGGTGGGTGGGGTATTTTGCAGAAACTTTCTTATTATTATCTTCAGTCCTTTACTTCTAAATCTCCATGTTTATGATTGTGTTGCAAGAAATATTAATGGAGAATGGGTGAACATTTGTAACAGTTACCAACAATAAGGCTTAAGTGATTTAAAATACACTCTGAACCCTTCATGAATCTCTTAAGAAGAAAAATTGTCTTGTATATGTTAAAGAGACAAAAAGCATAACAGCAGAGAGGGAAAAGTTTAATAATTATTTGTATATCACATAATTTAAAGATGGCCAAAATCCAGATTATACATTGTGGAAAAACTTTATATTGCATATACCAGGTGATTGTCAAGGTCAAAAAACTTCTTGTTAACAAAATATTTAGCAGTGTTATTCAGTCCATTTGACAACTTATTGAATGTTATTTGACACCTTCTACTTGCAGTTTACAGAGCTGGTATGTGAGGGAAGCTAGGTTGTTGATTGAGGAAAGGGAGAGTAAAGGATTACCTCATATTGACAAGAACTTTATTGATCCCAGTAAAATAGTCCTGCCATCAGAGGAGGAGATTGAGGCACTGGACATTGACATCGTGGTCTAAAAGCTGATCCTCCTCCAGGACTCAAAAAATAAAATTCATGTTTTGTTTTGTATAGATAAATTTATATGTATTTTTAAAAGTGTGAAGTACAAATCCCCTCACTGTATTTGAGATGTGTATTGTTACAAAATTTAAAAAATGATAACAAGAGTTTTTGTCATTCATGTTTACTTAAGGTTTTTTAAAGGTCTGGTACAATTTTTGCTATGATTAATTAGATGATTGCACTGTAAAATGTTTGTAAAAATGAATTTTTCATACTGATATTAGTGCTCCAAGGCATTAACTTTTCAGTCCAGTTTTTCCCATATGCAGTACTTATTCTCTTGAGGATGTACATGTATATATGAAGTTTGTAAATGATTAAAAGTCACCCAAGTCATTCCATTATATGACCATCTATGGGTTCTTACTCTTCCACCATATTTTATATGGTTTTGAATAAATTTTAAGATTGCTTAAACATTAAAGTTACATCATTTCCAAGCCATTTTAAACTCTCTGGAGTGAAGTGATCAGGTGAGCTTTTCTGATAGAAATTTGTCTGTTATCCGTCGTTAATATTTTATCGAACCACTGGACCAATTACAACCAAACTTGGCATAGATCGAGTAACCTTGGTTCAAGGGGATTCAAAGAAAGAGGGTGCAAAAGGCGAGGACAATACCCCACTCTGAGACAATATATTTCTTAATTTCCAAAGTTCCAGAAAAATATGTTGTCAGTAATGTCATCTTCAACATATTTGATTCATTTAATTTATTACATGACTTATTAATTAATAATTGTTTTTGAAGATGACAGTTATGCATATTTAGTGGAAAATGGGTTTATTGGTGCTATAAAAAATGATTTTTTAATATGAATGGGACAAGTCTCCATTCTACCGGTACATCAGTGTTTAAATGATGGAAAAGTAAATGTAAAATTTGCCTTACTTTTCAAAACGTATTGAAGTATTTTGAAGTATTGCAGGAAACTGAATATTTCATTCAATACAAAAATTGAACATTTCTGAAAAAAATATTTGTTTCCATAAATTCGTTTATTTAAAGCACACTGACACACATCAATGACAAGAAGACCTCGTAGCGTATTGGTTAACGCGTTCAGTTTAATGCTGAAATATGCATCTCTAAATATGAGCTTTTCCTGTGGGTTTTTTTTTTTCTTTTCACATACCTTAAACCATAAGTGAAAATAAAATTATTTATCAATGTTATTAAATAAAATAAAGAAAGCAAGTATGTAAAAGATGATACTGACAATACGATTTTTGAAAAAAATATCTTTTCATGGAAATCTTAGAATTGAAAAAATTTCCTTTCTCAGAGTGGGGGATTGCCCTCTCCTTGGATGCCTCCATTCTTTGTTCAAATGAGGGGCGAGGGCATTTTGAAAGGGAAGATAATCAAAGAAAGGCATAGATGGGGTAGGTGTCATAAAAATCTCAAGAACGACTGGGTCAAAAGGATTAAACTACATCTAGTGTGAAAGCTTCCTGACATAGCGTAAATTTAAGTACTTTCAAATGCCTGGCTTACTCTGGGAAACAAAAGGGGATCAAAGTTTCACATTGGAATATTTGGGAAATTTTTGATATGCAAGCCCCCTCAGGTAGAGCAAATTGAAGTTCAAATCATGGCCTTAGGGGTAGGTTGAGACCTCATAGGGGATCAATGTTTTATAGGGAATATAAGGGAATATGTTTTAAACTCTTCTCATTGGCAAGTTCAGCAGGACCATGATCAGTGATATATTAATATGCATATTAATATGCAAGCATCCTCAGGTAATGCAGATTCTAATTTATATAAAACACAGACCCTGGGGGATTGGATGGGATAAAAAGATGAAGGTCAAAATATGGGATCCAGGATGTTAGCCAGCCCTTAGAACTATGTACTCTTATAACTGTATTATACGGGTTTTTCCCAATTTTGACCGGGCTGGCTAAATAGCTTACCGCCCTTGTAACCTCAATTCCTTTTGACAATCAAGGGGTCCCTCCCAGACCCTTCTCCCGTAAAAAGATGAAGGTCAAAATATGGGATCCAGAATGTTAGCCAGCCTCTGACACAAGGTTAACCCATTAATTGTATTATATCCATTGTCATCATTTTGGTCAGGCTAGCTACACTGGTTTGGGGTCCTGTCTCTTCTTTTTTAAGTAAAGTCTTTGATTCGCTTCTTTAACGTGTATTATAATGAGTTATTCAAGTTTTTTTGAATAAAAATTATTAGGACACTTCTTGTATTTTGAATAGGGAACCGGCCACAGCATGCGGTTCGCCATTTGAATAGTTAATAGGGAATAGGGAATAACCTTCTTACTTCTGGTTGCCTCACAATAATCTATCAAAGATTTGCATGGGAATATATAAGAAAAAAATCATACAAAATGTTCCTTTTTTGGGACAGGTTTAGTGAAATTAAATTGCAAACATGATCATGGTCAGGACTTGTTCATAGGTACAAGGTTTTGACCCCTGGGGTTTGGATGAGGCCACAATAGAGAATTAAAGAAAATAAAATTTAAACAAAAAACTTCTTGTAAAGAATACCATGGTCATGATTTTTCATATTTATGTTCAAGCATTCTCAGAGTAGATTCAAGTTTGAATACCCTGGGGGTATGGTGGGGCCGATGTTCTAAAGAAAAGCAGGGCCTAGGTGACCCAGTTGAGCGTTGTTTGCGCATGGGCCTCTTGTTTTTCCGACTGGATAAAATTTGATTGTTTACTCTTTCGAAATTTAGGCAATTGCTGTCAAGCAGGCGACGGAGTCGAGTTTTTCCAGAGATTATCCGAGTGTGATCTCTAAACTAATTCCAAATATGTATTACATCATTACGTTATTGACAGCAAGCACCGAAAAATCACGAATAATGATGGATCCCTTTCTGAAGTTATCTTAAATCTCCATAGACTATAAATTTGCTGCTGTGTCTATATACTACATGTAGTTGATTATGAGGGCTCCTTCAAAATCAAAGTTAAAAAAAATATGATCTGTACTGATCGAACCTAGTTTGAAAGCCAAGATATTTAAGTATTTTGAAATATAATACAGAAAGTGATGACGTTGGTAAAGGACAGACTCTAGTGTTGTTGCCACTTCCTCATTGCAACTTTAGACCCTTCCTTGAATTTCTCGCAGTAAGAGTATATAAAGATTTATATCATTTTTTCTCTGAGAGGATAGTGCATTAGTGTTTTATGTGCATCATGATTATTTTGCCCCCGCCTTTAAATTTCTGGGCACATAGTATTACTCCTTTCTGTCATTCATTCCCAAATTCTGTAAATTCCAGACTTCTTTTTTTAAGCTCATCTGAACCAAATGTTCAAGTGAGATTTTCTGATCACCTTTCATCTATCCGTCTGTCCATCTGTTAGACTTGACATTTTCAACTTCTTCTCCATCCAGAACCACTGGACCAATCAACCAAGCCTATCAAAAAATATTTTCGAGAAAAGGGAATTCAAGTTCGTTCATATAAAGGGCCACAGCCTCTTTAAGGGGGGAATAATCAAGAAAAGTCAAATTGGATGGATCCCCTAGGAAATCTGTTCCAGAAAAGATAAAACATATATGTGAAGGTGTAGATTCAAATTTGTTTCTGTTAAAGAAGCATGCCTAAGTTATGGTTGATTCAGATTAAGGATTATTGTAACTTATACCGAAAATTAGGCACATTCTATTATTGCAAAGAAACCAAGAATAAACAATGAAAATTGTAAAGCTAACGAACAGTGATCAGATCTTGAGAAATCTTATATTAATTTTGAACGGGGCAAAAACAAAAACACTAGAGGTGGGATAATATGTGTAAGAGGAGTAATCCTCCCCTGTTGACCGGTGATTCCTCTGTATAGATCAGGTAAAAAGGAGTAATCCTCCCCTGTTGACCGGTGATCCCTCTGTATTGATCAGGTAAAAAGGAGTAATCCTCCCCTGTTGACCGGTGATCCCTCTGTATAGATCAGGTAAAAAGGAGTTATCCTCCCCTGTTGACTGGTGATCCCTCTGTATAGATCAGGTAAAAAGGAGTAATCCTCCCCTGTTGACTGGTGATCCCTCTGTATAGATCAGGTAAAAAGGAGTAATCCTCCCCTGTTGACCGGTGATCCCTCTGTATTGATCAGGTAAAAAGGAGAAATCCTCCCCTGTTGACCGGTGAGTCCTCTGTATAGATCAGGTAAAAAGGAGCAATCCTCCCCTGTTGACCGGTGATCCCTCTGTATAGATCAGGTAAAAAGGATTAATCCTCCCCTGTTGACCGGTGAGTCCTCTGTATAGATCAGGTAAAAAGGAGTTATCCTCCCCTGTTGACCGGTGATCCCTCTGCATAGATCAGGTAAAAAGGAGTAATCCTCCCCTGTTGACCGGTGATCCCTCTGTATAGATCAGGTAAAAAGGAGTTATCCTCCCCTGTTGACCGGTGATCCCTCTGTATAGATCAGGAAAAAAGTGCTGTGAACACGATGAAATCTTTAAAAAAATTGTTTATTTCTGCAGTTGAGCAGGGAAAAGAAATTCAGCACGCAGTCTTATGAAGTTGATTTTGGTACAATGTAATAAATACTAGTAGTATGATCTGTCTTTTTCCCTAGCATAATTCATAAACTACAAACAGTTTTGAAAATATTCATAAATTAAGCTTTGAATGTTAACTTAATTATGCCCTTGCAATATTGAATTTAATAGATGACGTCATGTTTAATTAAACCACGTGCATGCCACATCACGTGACTTGTCTAAATGAAATGTGAAGCTAATGAACATTGATCATGCTCAGAAGTCCACTTAAACAATACAAATTGTGAAAAGAGCCAATGCAGACCTCTGAAAACCAAGTGGGATCAGGTGCCATAGAGGAAAAAGCAAACCCTGTCGACTGGTCACACCCGGCGTACGGTCTGCTACGTAGTACATTCGAGCTTGTTTTTCCGCCACCTCAGCTGCATTGCATTAACTGTTAGATAGTAACCTGTCTCCGCTTAAAAATTGATTGTACTCAGAACATGCTCTTGCTTACAAAATCATTTGGGAGAAATGAACACCATATGTAGTTGACAGTGTAATCAGTTGGGAGACATGAAAACCATATGTAGCTGATAATGGAATATTATTGCATAAATAGATGAAGTTGATGATGGAAAAATTGAAGTCATCCCCTACATAGTTTAGTGAATAGTTGGCATTTAACCTCTAAAGTCATTAAATCATCCAAGTATAGAACAGATGTAGCAGATTCTTAATTTTGATGTTTTTTTATTTTTATGATATATCGATCCACTATGAATGGAAAAAAAGATAAAACGTCGTGTAGAATTGAAGGTCACTACGAGAGTTTTCATGGAGAAGGTTCGGCTAATACTAGTAAAGGAACACAATCAGTGCCAGTCAAAATTCCAACATCTCAAGATTGTTTGAAGACCTGGCTCCGGGGCCATAAAACTGAGACGAGCTTACTTTTGATCTCAGTCTCACTTTTCCACTATATATTCCTTTTGCAAAAGAGAATAAGATCAAAAGTAAGCGTCTCAGTTTTATGGCCCCGGAGCCTGGTCTCCCAAGACTAAATAGACACTGTAAATGAGGAATTCCAGCTTCTTTTTAATATCCACTTCAGAGTATTTATGTGCAGAATTAGGATTATTATTTAGCAAAGTAAGTTTGTAGATGAACAATTACAAGATCTGAAAAGTTTCGAGTTCCGTTTTTACTGAAGAAGCAGTTGTCTGATATCAAAAGTGCGGGTCATTCATTCATCGTGAAGAACGATGATATAAAGTGTAGAAAAGTCGTATGTCATGATTATATAAATTTTGGATACAAATGTGATTTTAAATATTTAAGTTCTTTAGGATTTTGAGAATCAAAATTTTGTTTAAATGCGGTCTTGAAAATGTTGTAGTCAATACGCTTGCAGTCTCTCCCTCATAGCAGTTGATATATTAGGGGCTTGGTAGAAATATTCCTAGATATTCTGTTTATCTTTGTAAGGGTTACTAAGAAATGATGGAATTCAGTATACGTATGGCAAATCTATGGCAAATCTAATTCACCTCTCTTTACTGGAATATTAGTATTTAAAAATGAAATGTGATATTGCAGAATCTAAATCTGTGGGTATAAGATGGATTACCAGATATGGAATTAAAGCTAAGATCTTCTAAAATACAATTGTAATAATGAGCATTACAAACGAAGACAACATTGTTACAAACTTTTTTCAGCTGGAATCATAATATACAGTATAGTATTTCCGATTCTTTAATCATTTCCAGTCTACTTAAAACGGTAGGATAGTTGGAGCATTTGCGTTTGCATTTGCCTTTTTTATTGTCTATTAATTCTTTAACTTACTTTAAAACTTTTCATCCATTATGACAAAGGGTCGAAGTATTACCCTTTATATTTAGAATATGAATTGATATATTACACTGATAATCTAAGTGTCTGTTACCCTTTTCACAAAAAATCTTACTACTAAGATGAAAATTTTTACCCAATCATGACAAGGAGCACAGGGCGGGTGTGACCGGTCGGCAGGGGATGCTCACTCCTCTATGGCACCTGATCCCACCTCTAAATGTTGAGGTCCGTGTCTGTTCTGCTCCAAAATTTGTATCGTTTCATTGGACTTTCGAGATTGAATACTGTTCGTTATCTTCATATTTCACTCAAGACAGAGGGCGCTTAAAGTTAGAATATTTATTCGAGCTTCATTTTTGTGAATCTTGAGTCTTATATACCGGTATATATATATATATAGATATAGATATAGATATATTAAACACAATGTTTGACTTCGTCTATCGCTGCACGGCAGGAATGGTTCCGACGTCGTTATGACGTTTCTTTTCAGCACTCATTTTTCAGTTTAATCGCTTATCTTTTTAACTTCTCACATGCTTTTTTTTAAAGTTTGAGATGCAGTACTAAAAGTATTTGAACTTTGTCCAAATATTTCGAAATTCATTCCTTCTTGCGTAAATCTTAAGAATCATCAGATTCAAAACGATATATATATATATATCTGTTTGTGTGTTGTATAAAGATTAACCAGCAGGACAAAGTTCTAAGGAAAGCAACATTTTTGAATTTAAAAAAGTAATGTACATGTAGATTAAAACAAAAGAAGTATACCAGTCTGCGAGTATATCTGTCACGTCAGCTGTTGTTAATTCTTTATCACGCAGCAAATGCTTTAACATCAAACATGACAAGAGGCTACCATACTGCAATGTATTCAGAAAATATATAAGCTTATTATGACAGGGCGTATAAATACGCATAGCTAATTAAGTATCCTGCCATGGATTTATTTTTGTATTGAATTAAGTACTGATTGGGTTTCTGATCTGATTACTATATGAGTGATTCATACTGAATATATACGCCTTTTCATTAGAAAACCCAAAAGTAATTATACTCAGTAGTCTCACTACTTTCCAAGAGGAAAAAATAAGTATTCTACCTTACTTTTTTTTTCTATAATCAAAGTATATGGTTTCATATTTTCAGGGAAAGGTGGGTGGGGTGGGTACTAAAAACATGAAAAAAGTGTCCAAGAAAAAGACATGCAGGCTTCCACATTATGAAAAATCTCGACCAGAGGGTTATTACGCATATGCCTCATCCACGATCTACACGACATAACGGGCTGTATTTGAGTGAAAAGAAAGGACAAATCTGAGCAAAAGTTAAATGTAATTAACAAGCATCCTGAAATTCATTATGAAATACAAATTAAGTACATTCACTTGATACCTAGTTAGAAAAAAAAATGTGTAAAAAAACTACCGAAAAAGTGGAGGATGTAAAATTCACAAAAACTCAAATAAAGTAGACATGCATTAATTTTATTTTGAGCTCTTTGAGATATTGAGTTTGCATTTCTATTTCTAATCATTCCTATCAGAAAAAAGAGGCTTAATTCGTACCATTATATCAAATCCGCATCAGAAACTGTCAAGTCTTCGTTGCAGATACCGAGGAATGCATGATAACTATGTCTCGAGGCGTGCTTTTTTAATGATCTGATTTTGAGATGAAGTATTTAAGTCCAAGATATCTAAGAGTCTTTTTCACGTCGTCTCTGACCCCGAAGCAAACATGTCGTCTTCAGGCGTTGATACAATGGTCGTTTCTCAGTTTGTTGAAAGCAAAGTCAGAAAATGGTTTCAACTAAATAACCTCAAGCGCAATGGATTCATAAGTAAACAGGACTATTCAGACATGACGGCTACATTCATCAAAGAGTTTGATTTAGACGAGAAAAAGGCACAAGCCATTCGAAACTGGTTAGAAAACGGTTGGGAAATTTTGATTAAGAAAGGAGAAGATATCACAGCGCAAGGTGGCTCGGGTGGAGTGTCACCAGAAAGTGCGCCCAAACTTCTAGAAGTAGGAAGGAAGATGCGAGAAAATGGCAACATTTCTGAAAACGAGTACATTGCAGCTTTTAAAGAACTTGTTGGCTTCAATAAGAATTTGTTTGTCGAAACCTTTGCAGGTATGGTAGGGAGCTTTTTTGACGCCTTCGATGTGAACAACACTGGTTATTTAATCAGCGAAAATTTTCAAAAGGGTATGAAGTGTTTTGGAATGACTAATTCAGAGGCAGTAGACACGATGTTTAAAGCCATGGATACAAAGAAGGAAGGAAAGATCGATAAAGAAACATACGTCGGTCACTGGATCGAATTCATGACGGGGGATAACAAGGAAGGGGTGATTGCACAGTTTTTATGCAGAATGTAAAAACTTTCATTCTACAAGTCCTACATGAACTCAAGTTTATCTTTGGCACTTAGAATCCTTGTCAGCTGAATGAATGATAAATGTTTAAACTGTATGTTGTGACCGTGTAAATTTATTCTCATTGAAAATGTAATGTTTTGTTACACTTTTCAAAACAGAATGCTAAGTATATATACCCTCAGTCATTGTATGTATTTTAGACTTTTAAATGGAGAAATATGATGTTAATTACATGTGGAAAAACGAACATTCTACTTTTTGACTCGTTATTTCTTTATTTTCCTGGGAGGGGGATACTGTAAAAATACAGGCAGCATTAGTACATATACAGGTATTTAAAAAATCGAGAACTGCGCCGTGAGATGAAACTCGTTCATACAAATCATAATCAAATCTCTCTCTCTCTCTCTCTCTTCTCTCTATTTATATACTGTAAAAGTGGAATATATTGCGATGGTTTTAATTTCACTATGTTCGCGATCAAAGATTTTCGTAAACATTGAGCCATCGTGAATATTATCGACATATCAAAGTAGTATTCATATATAAAATGAAAATACTTTCCATATACCTTAAAAACTATAATATTTTATACGAGTAAAAGAGTAAACCATTGATAATCATTTGAAACTTCCAGAGGTTGTAAGTTTCTTAAAATATAATATATACTCCACAACAACATTCTTTGCTTTAAAGGATTTTTTTTCTTTCAAAATTACAAATAGAGTTTATGAAGAAAAAATTAATATCCGCGAAATTAAACCACCGTGAAATGTACCAGTAAAGAAAACCGTGAAATATTGCACACGTGGAATTAAAGATGTTTACAGTATATAGCTAATGAAAGGCTGCGCAAAATAATTCATGCTCAACATTTATTCACCGAAACAAAATACAAATACCCTTTGTTTTAACCATTGCCTCCTGATCACACGGACAAATTATTTGGGATTCACTCTCATAGTACAGAAGGATGCTACAATTAATAAGTGAACTTCAAGCTGGAAGTCGTTCACGGTAGGAATGAATAGTGTATTGTAAATATTCTCGTGTTTAATGCTTTTTAACAAAGTTTTGAGAAGACGAGATATCAATTTACAGTCTTGATCTTCTTGCTTTTACTTTGACAATGAATGTCAATCTTGTATGTATTTCATAAGAAGAATTGTCTGTTTGCGAATTTTTTACACTTCATATCTTGAAATTAATTGTCTAAGCAAACTTACATATTCATATGCTCCATAATCGTGGGTTTACATTAATAATCATGGGTGTACATAAGTAATAGTGGGTGTACATTTATAAGTAATATTTTCATGTCATACCTTCGCAATTCCTTTGAATATTTACCATATTAAATAAAACACTTTTCTTTTTTTTATACGTTGTTTATTTCAGAACCATTCGAACGCTAATTTAAAAAAATATTCTTTTGACTGTGCTATACATACATGTATGATATCGACAGCAATATTATTCTACAATGAGATAACCTGGAATTTATATTTAAATGTACGTTTCATGTTCCTATATCAGGATGCTCAGAAGGTGCAGAATTTAACCCCCTCAATAAATAAATAAATCAAACAAAAAAAAAAAAAAAAAAAAAAAAAACTGAACAATAATAATAAATAAATAAAATGATTTTTGCATATTAGCGGATCGAAGAAACCATATTATTACACGAATATTTAATTGACGAATGTATAAAGCTTATAAAAGCAAAACACTTTAAGTAAATAATGTAGTAAAACCACATCTTTAGCACTAGAATACTACAATTGGGAACGGATTTACAGAAACATAATTTTACATTATATGCATATAGCCTTAAACAAATAAAACCAAAATGTAGGTATCTGGCGATGATTTAAATGAAAATATTCGTATGTGTTAATGTGGAAAATGTATGAAGGAAAAAAAATCATTGACTTTCCTTATCTAGTCTGGAGATTTTTGCACAGTATTGAAAAAATTCAAATCTCTTTTATCAATCAGTACTTATTGCGTATATTAATAGTTAAATTTTGCCAGGCTGTTTTGGAGAACAAAACTTTTGATGATATCTCATGATTTGTGACTTGTGTCTCCTTTGTAACACGTGATCGTTTTTAAGACACGTTGATTCTCTCAGGTGAATCAATTGATCAGGATTTCTTGCATAGATGGAAATAAATCGTTCTCTTGGGAATAATCCGGATAATTCCTTGTGCAGTTCTTCACAATACGAATTTTCCCACACGTTTCAAATCCCCACACGTTCTATCAATAGCTCTTTACATTCGATGCTTACATTAACGAATCTCAAATTTTATTACATGGATTTTTTAGAGAAAAAAAATTCAGATCAGTTAACAATAAAGCTTCTCTTCCTCTTTTATGGCTAAACATTGGTATCATCACCTTCCTCAATGTTAGATATGAAATACATGGGGTTCTCTTTTGTGACCCCAGAGTTCTGATCAAACGCTTCATCCATTGTCAGATATTCATCTTTAATGTTAGATTCCTTTATGTGACGAGCATTACTTCTCCTACAATAGGAACACAGACTCAATTAATAGATCGAGGGCTGTGAATAATTGCAGATTGCTCTTCTTCGAGAAAAGGCTTTATAATTCTTCCAGTATCTCCTTGAATCAAAAATGCAAGCAAATCTGCCAATAAGGAAATACTTATATATAGACAATTAAAAACGTTACAGATGACATGCCACATTTATTATGCCAAGTGTTGTAACATTTTATCTAAAAGGTTTTGAAGACAAACAATAGAATCATTTTATTACCTTGGGACCAATTTTCATGAATTGTTCAAACTTTATCAGTAAGAAGAGACGCAATTCAAGAGCAAAGATTTCGTTATGAAAGGTATTGCTTGTATGTTGACATTTGTCGGGGCTGGTGATGGTTATACATGAAATCCATGAAAATTAAAATCCTTCCGAAATATTTTGATTGTACGACATGTGTTCTTTCAGACCTGTATTATACTTACTTTAATTTTACCACGACAATAATGATGATGACGAGTAAGAGGAAGCCACCTCCTGCCCCGGCTAGTAGGGGAATATTCTGTTTTATCCAACTCTAAAAGTTTAAATATGTTAAAGGTATGAAAGCCTCTTTACTTCAAGAAATAATAGAAAACACCGGAGTAAAATTCTTAGTTGAAAACATTTATAAAATTATTCAGAAAACTGGGTTCTATCAGACAATTATGATATGAATTATAAGTAATTACTTTAGTTTTGCTCATATACATTCAATTTGATTGGCTGATACAGACAGAGACACGTTTTGTTTTTAATATAATATATATACTCAAGATATATTACTAAAGTCAGGTACTCTTCAAACAATAGCTCTGAAAAAATATAGTTCCATTCATAACCAAGAGATACAACATTCCATTCATAACCAAGACATACAACATTACAACAAATGTAAAGAATAATGATATGTATGTAACATGTGAAAGAAAACAAAATAAACGTTAAAAGTTTTTTCACCAGAAATGCAAATTAAAAGTGTTCATATTCCTACACTAGCTGCCTCTTCAGTCTTTTTCACGGAAATATATAGGTCAATCTTCGATTGATAATGATAAATCTTTTCACCAATTATATTACTTTCATGATTATTGTTTGTTAATTGTCGTACATTTACCTCTAAGAGAGAATGTAATGAAATAAATGGAGATAACGAACAGTATTCATGCTCAAAAGTCCATTAAACATTACAAAATAGGTGCATAGCAAACACGGACCTCCAAAACATCAGAGGTGGGATCACGTACCATGGAGGAGTGAGCATCCCCTGCCGGCCGGTCACACCCGCCGTGTGCTCCTTGTCATGATCGGGAAATAACGGAAAAATCCGTCGACAATTCAGTGTGTAAATAATGGCCTAACAATTAATACGAAGAACGTCAGTCAGCATTTGACTCAATGATAAATTGTATTTGCTGACAAGGTCATTGTATCGACCAAAGAACTTACGAAATGATGACTTTAAACGAGACAGTTGATATTCTTGTTTCATCAACTTGTTTGTCAATAATTTACCTCGTTTTAGAAATTGTACATACGTAGAACATGCTCTTGCGTATCGAATCAACTGAGAGATATAAACTCCGTAGGTGATGAAGGTATTTTGCTGCATAAGTAAGGGAAGTTGACGATCGAAAAGTTAAAGTCATCACGTTTATCATAAAGCTTGGTTGTTAGATTACCATTAACATCTTTTTCAAGTAAAATATCCAAATATGAAACAGATGTGTCAGACTCTCTGGTATCTTTTAAATCATTAATAATTGTATGTGGTTTTTTAACTTTTTTTTTTTTTTATTAAATAACGAAATTTTATTATACAACAATCGTAACTTCGCGGCAAAAAAAAGGGTGTTTTTCCGAGCTCGCCGGAAAGGTCTGCAAAGATGCGATTGACAATCTCATCGCACGTGTGTAGACCTAGGCTATTTGGTCTTGCAAGCACAGGTGTGTGCACTGTTTGCTAGTGGCGCTTAGATTGGCGACAGTATTTGCTACATGTATGGACATGAAGAACTATACAACAGTGCAGTTTCAGAAATCATCTGATCACAGTGAAAATTCGAGTAAATAAAAAGTCGAATATCTTGGATATGGGTTGTGGCGGTCAGACAGATTCTATCACCGGTGGTGTCAGATAGCTCAGTTGGTAGAGCACCTGACTGGAGATTCAGGGGGCCCGGGTTCGAATCCCGGTCTGGTCTGCTGCATTTTTCTCCCCTCCCGTTACAGGGGTAACCCATATCTATTCTTGTTTACAATAACTTGTACTTGTATATGGGGACACGAGCGCAAAAGTTTGTGCTAGTTTTTAAATGGTAATACACGTATTACCAACGTAGAATAAAGCACGTAAAGTAAAATTTAAGCCCCGTTTCTGGATGTCTCTTTAAACAATGTGACAGTTTACATGCAAATACGCCGGCATATTTCATGAAGCGCGTTAACGCTTCATGATAAATATGCCAGCCTGCAGCGTTTTAGTTCATGTACCTCATGAATTTTCAAAAATTAAATTCATTTCTTATATTTACATTATTTTTCTGATGATTTGCCACAAATAACGCCATTCAACTGTCATTTTTAAAGCAAAACAGTTTGTACTATAGTTTTGACGTCAAGTAAGGTATTATGACGTTACAATGGAGATATTGATGTCCATTCATGGAAGTTCATGAGAAAATTAACTGTATTCTATTTTGTAAAGAATCATGTGGGAAATTTATTGTAAATGTAAATATATATATATATACCTTTTTATTTGCATTATCTTTGGTTTTAAATCTTGCAAGCTCAAAAGGAAAAGCTGTTCTCAATTGCTCCGTTGACATCTCTTTCAATTTCATCTCTAGGCGGTCACGTGACAGGGGTTTTCCATCACAAATGACTGGAACTTGAAAGTCTGTATTTCCATTGCTAATTGAAAAGAAACATTTATAAAGTTTAAGGAATATGTGCATTCATCAAATTTAATGAAAGTTTATACAATTAAAACAAGGTCTTTCATAACGGTTATAAGTTAGCGTTTTCTGAATGTGTTAGACATAAATACTATATACCGGGTTATTTTCGCCCTTTCACACCGGCAATCAATTTGGCCCCATTTTGAATTCGCCAAAATTCAGATCTTTTAAGAGATAATGTTGTTTTCTTTGGATTCGTCCGTTTTAAATTCGCCAAATTGCGACGAGGGCGAAGGGGGCGAAATAAAACGTGGACGAAAATTTCCCAGTATACAGTATATATACTACATAAGCTATTTAGCCTTAGGCGCTAAATAGATTACATAGCTTATAGATTACATATTATATTACAAATGTTATATGTTTACAGCATTTTATTTTAATATTTAGAATAGCAATATTCTTCGAACAGAACAGTGTATAATCGACAATTTTTTTATTCATAATGATGCATATACACATGTATATTAAAAACAACAAATTACGAGAACGTATTGCTTTTTACGATCTTTTAAACATGGAGAATATGCTGCATACCAATATGCTGCATTATACCTGTATGATAAGGCATGATCTTTTGACAGTATGCTGACGTCATGACACAAAGAGGTACATATAATCCGTAAGGAGTTTTCTATTTTGTTAAGATCTTTATCTGAGATATGTCCAGTAAACTCCAGATTGACCTTCTCCACTCCGATTAATCCTAAAATAATAACAATATACATGTATCTACATATTATATTATAGTACTTTTGAATTTTTCAGTTTCAGTTATTTTTAAAGTTATATAATAATATATTGTCGGAGTTGTGTTATATTGGATATTACAGCGCTTTAGTAATTTTTTTTTTTCTGCAATGATAACAACTTCTAAACCCCGAATAACACAACAAAGAAAGATAGTTTATTGTTTATATTTATGAAACATGTTCTTTCTTCATATAAATATTTCCAAGAACGTTGTAGTATTTCTTTGCAAATGATTGATCCTCCCCCCCCCTTTTTTTTAACCCTACCCCGTTCTCGAATTGGAGGGGGATCGAATAATTTTGAAAGAACGTAGAAACATGACGACTTTTGTTACCGATTGAAAAGAAAATAAAGTTCAATATAAACTTTGAACTCTTTCTTATGCCTCCATCATTGTTCTTGGGGTCCATAATTTGAATAAACGTGATAGTGGCAAAAATATGAGGATGCCTGTGTATGTAATTTGTCCATATGAGCACATGGTATTCGAGCAGATCTGAAAGATTTCTTTCTGGATTATGGAACAGTTAAATTTTCACAACATTTAAGATATTTGCATTGAAAATTGAAACAAATGCGGCTTAGCATCTCTTAAGAAGATTTTGAATTTTCCTCCCTCTAATTGATTTCTCTAGATGAAACTTTGAACTCTCTTCTTAAACAATCCAGAAGAAGTTTAAGATATCATGTGTTACTTTTAAATGTTTGACAATTGTAGAAAGAAAAATATTTGACTAAATATTAGGAAGAAATTTTAAATATTGATTTTTTAGTGTAATAATTCACACGACCTGTTAATGCAACCTTCCATAATGCACTAACATTGGACAAGGTAAAGCAGCTTTCAAATATACCTATTCAACTTAACTTCGTAAACTATTGAATAAAAATAAATAGGATGCATGCCTACTGTGGGTTTTCCATTCAATATTTCACAAGTTCTGCCTGAATGTCCTTCCCGGCAATTACATGTAAATGACCCCTCAGTGTTGACGCATATTCCGAATCCGGAGCATTTTTGTTGTTCGCATTCATCTATATCCTCATCGCATTCAACGCTTTTCCATCCATCTAAACATTCACATTGGAATGATCCCTGCAAATTCCGACAGGATTTCATATGTTTACACCGGTTTTCCTCACATTCGTTTACGTCATCATTACATTGTCGTCCTCTCCATCCATGTAGACAGCTACAGTTATATCCACCAGCAAAATTACGACACGTCGATCCGTGGAAACAAACATCGTTGTTGCATTCATCAACGTCATTCTCACAACGTTTACCTGTCCAAGAGGAAGGACAATTACAGTGAGCACTACCACGGGTATCAATGCAAGTTCCACCATGTTCACAGGAGAGAATATTGTTTTCGCATTCCTTTATATCTTCTGTACACGCTGTGCCACCCCAACCTGGTTTGCAGTGGCAAGAATAACTACCATCAGTATTAGTGCAGTTATAACTATTTATTGTCGAACAAAAGCTAGAAAACTCACACTCGTTAAGGTCTCTATCGCATGCTTCACCAACCCAACCTTTCTGACAAGTGCAACTGAATGACCCTGGAGAGTTAATGCATTGAGAGGCATGTTTGCAGTCTCCTGTTGAGCATTCATTTACGTCTTCCTCACATGAAGGACCTGTCCAATATGGAGGACAGATACAATTATAGCTACCGATATTATCTACGCATGTTCCTCCATTACTACAGACTTCAATTTTACACTCATCAACATTTATGTCGCATTCCATACCAGTCCATCCAGGAAAACATTCACACTGAAATCCTCCAACAATATTTGTACAGTTTCCTTTATTATTGCATATATTTTGTAAACATTCATTCACATCATGTGCACATGTAGTACCTGTCCAGTTTGGGGGACATATACAGGAGAAGGAACCGAGAGTATTTTGACAAGTACCGCCATTGAGGCAGGCGTCATTGCGAAGGCATTCATTAACATCCGCCTGACACCGATCTCCTTGATACCCAGAATTACACACGCATTGGAAGCTTCCGGCCGAATTTGAACAGTTACCATTATCATTGCAAATGTTTGGCTTCAAACATTCATTGACATCTTCTTGACAGTTTTGACCAGTCCAGTTTGAAGCACAAAGACAAGTATAAGATCCCATGTTATTCTGACAAGACCCTCCATGTTGGCAGGGACTGTGCACTGTACATTCGTCTATATCTACGTTGCAGTTAGTACCGTTCCATCCAGTATAACAGGAGCATGAAAAAGCACCAGGGATATTTGAACAGTTTCCATGACCATTGCATGCATTCTGAAGGCATTCATTCACATCATCTGTGCAGTTTTTACCTTTCCAGTTTTTGGGACACGTACATTCATAACCGCCTTTGACATTATTACACGAACCTTTATTTTTGCAAGGCTGATAATCTGAGCATTCGTCAATATCTGCATCACAATTTTCACCGAACCATCCGCCTGCACAACTGCACTGGTACGTTCCATTAAGATTAGTGCACGTTCCATTGTTTTTGCAAACATTCAGAAGGCACTCGTTAACGTCTTCTTGGCATCGTTTCCCCTCCCACCCCCGAGTACAACTACAGTTGTATGCATTATCTGCCAAGTCCATACACGTGCCTCCGTGTTCACATGGTGCTTTCATGCATTCGGGAATCTTGCTTTCACATCCTTGTCCAGTATATCCTATGAAGTATTTTATGTATTATATCCGCATTTAAAATAAACAAAATTAATCTTAGACACTTTAAGGATCACATACCCTCTAACTAATTTAATTTTTATTTGTTCATATTTAAACTATGTAGCATATATTTTAACATCATCTACTTTTTCAATGTTTTAAATGAAAAAAAAATCACCGTTTTTACGTACCATCCTGACATTGTAAATATCCATCAATGGAACAGTTTCCATGGCTAGTATCAACACATTGTCTGGAACACTCATTGCCAAAGAAGTGGGTGTTACAGATTAATTGTCCATAATCATTACAAGTTCCATTGTTCTTGTCAATACAAAATATATTACATTTTGGCCCGAAATAGTGGTCATCACAGATCATTGTACCCGTCATATTACATCGTCCTTGGCTCCCGGAGACGTGGGATGAACACTTGCGGGAACAGTCTGCTCCATAGAATTCCACATCACACTGAACAGAAATAATCATGCTTACCCTGAAGATGGAAGGAACAACATTCCTATCTTAATTTAATTTCATCAACAATACATATGTACTTTAATATCATGCCTTTAGAAGGTTGAACCGGTTCGTGTAGTGAAAAGAATAATTGAAAATTTAACCATTTTAATCAGCGAGATTGTTTTCTGTAAGACTACGTTCCCTCTATCATGATTGAACGATTGAAATAATTAAAACCATTGCCTTATTTGTGCAATAATCATGATGATCCTACTAAATCTTTTCTGATCTTGAGGCCAGTCTTTCAAATCGTGTTGCATTAGAAAGTTTTTTGACATGTTAATTTTTTTTCCTATGATTAACACGATTATTTAATCGTGATTTTCGCATCAGATTGCATTTCATCGTAACAAAGAGAAACATGTCGTATCTACATGTAATCGTACTTTAAAATAATGATGATCGGCATCTATCTTAGACAATGCAAACACCATTTCTGTTCAGATATGTTGGATTATCCAAATTAACATAGAAATTGATGACCTACTATTTTTTGAAAACTTGGTTCCAAAGGAAAGAAAAGTTATCTTATTCAGATGAATTTTTTTTTCAAATATAATTAATTATTTTCATCTGCTTTAAAATTTCAGTTCAATTTTGTATTTTTGAATGACCTTTATTACAGTAAAAGAGTAGATCACTGATCTACTTATTTCTTCTTTGTTTTAATCACCACATTTGTTCAAGATTTTTTCCCCACATTGGTAAATTTTTTATTCTCATCGGTGGAAATAATGCAGTCCATGGTCAGTATGGATGCATATATACCCGTCGGAGTCCAATTTAACTCAAATCGTAATCACTCTCGATTCTGATCGTGAAAGAAATATTCTATCGCAACCTAGTTCATGGGTTCGTCATTAACATATTTTAAAGTAATATGCAAACGTATCTAAACGTGAAAATTTGGATACCGGGATCGTTTGATCGTGTCTAATCAAGATCCAATCGTGGTCTCAATCTGAACAATCCTATTGGGACCTATGTGATCATATCTGACAATCATGACGGTGTCACATCAAAGAGCAACAAACATAAGAGAACGTATCGACATCAGTTCGTACTCAAACCAGAAATTCTATGGAAGTTCTACGAGAAGTCACGAATGGTTAATCGTGAGGATCGTAACAGATTGCGAGACAGTGGGAACCGAGTATAAAGGAGCAATACATTGGTGAAACGATTGAAGATTATATATATATATATATATATATATATATATATATATATATATATATATATATATATATATATGTATATATATATATATATATATATATAGGTTTTATGCATTTGCATATATACTTAGCTTATACCTTGTAAGATAATTGTAGAGTACCGTGACATTCTGGTTCAAAACATTGGTGTATGCTATCTGGAAGAAATCCTGTATCATAATACGACTTTTGTTGCCCCCGTCATAGATTAAAAATTCCACAAATGTGTTATTCTGCAATAATAAAAGAAATCATAATTTTCAAATGTACATATGACAAACTCTTTAATTAACGAATCAGACTCCTCAAGCCTGCTCACATCATATCCTTGTACGTATATTGGCGTAGTTAATGTGAATTTGAATTCATTTTTTGTAAACAGCATTGAAAACGTCCATCAAAATTGAAGTCTGAAAAGATTAAATCGAGGCAAGATTTCAACATTTCTTCTGCCAAGGTCTTGAATTTAGGGGCATGATCTGGAATGAAAATTAAGGATCTTAATCCTGGTGTTACCTAGTAAATAAAGCCAGGACAAATTTGTGATCAGATTCAAATATTTCATACTGACGTTCTAGGAGGTTTGACATTTAGGCAAGCCCACGGCACACTTTTCGTCAAGATTACAACATATATTTGGTTTACGTAAAAAGAAAAACCATTTAACAAAGGGAGACAACCATAGCAAATTAATACATTCCCAATACTGTTTGTAAGACATATTTACCTAAGTGGATTCTATGTTGAATCTTAACCTCTTCAAGTACTTATTTACAATGATTTGTATACAATTACTTACATTCCATTTTGCGATCTCTACTTTCAGCGGGTTTTTCAGAGTACCAATCGTTGTCATATTTCTGAACTCGATATGTCCAGTTTTTCCAAGCATTCCGCTCATTAGCGTATTAAAGATTTGCCCATTTCTTCCAAGCCTGTAAATATTGCAACAAGAAGAGCGCCTACATGTATAAATCAAACAAGTAACCTTTTTTGATACATGTCGACTACTTTACAAGTTGCAAGTACTTTACAAGTTAGGATATCTACATTTACAAATGGATAAAGTACAGATCTAATACTTTAAGCAATCTTTAGAAACACACCAACTGAATATATTAGTAAACCGATGCCAAAAAGTTCATTTGGCGCAGAGTTTCTCAATTGTCATCTTCCAAGAATTTTGATACAAAAATTTAGAGAATGTTTAATCACTCTTATTACACTTTTATTTAATAAAACTGTTTAAATCGAATTGAATCATATTATAAACATTTTATAATCTAAATATAAAGTTGTGTGGATACTTAAAGTCAAAACCAAGAAAGCTTCTCTCAGCTGTTGTACAATATGTTGAAATGAATATTTTTGTCTATAAGTGTAAAGGTTGAGGATAACGATGTGATCAATCTCATTATTCTATTCAGAATACAAATCACGAACGGGGGAAAACACACGAATCCCTGGAAACACCCGGAGTGGGATTAGATGCCTAGAAGTAATCATTCTCTGTCGACTGGTCACACCCTTCATGACCCTATGTATTGATCAGGTAGACATAGTAATCCTTAGTCAAATTTAGTATAAAAACAATTACTAGTACATGTACCTACCACTTGGTATGAAACATGTCAAACATAAAAAACCCCAATGATAGGTTGTTTTTGCAAACAAAGTCATTATAACGACCATAGAATTTGCGAAATGCAGACGAGGTTGTTGAAATCCTTCTAACATCAACTTACATTTTAAGGTTTAAAAATTGATCGGACTCAGAGCACGCTCCTGGGTATCGAATCATTTTGGAGACAAAAAAGAAGCACAGTTAGTGTACATCGTAATTCCAACAGTTTGGCATGGTAGACATGGTATCCAAAGACTATACAGGTATTGTCAAATAGGAACTCTAACATGGTTTTATATCAACTTCAGAGCACTTGTGTGTAGAATCAGAATGATTTTAAACTATGTAATTTTGTAGATGAATTTTCAAATTTACCGCGTTTTCCTAGAGATTTTAAAATTGCACAGTTTTTGGCCGTACACTGTTATCAAAGGCTTGGAATTAATAAGCACAAAAACACATTATCTTTACGCATCATATTCATTTTGACAAATCACGAATTTTAACGATTTAGTATGCAGCAATATACTCTTATCACCTGCATATGGGGTGTATATCTTTCAGTTGATTCGATACGCAAGAGCATGCTCTACGCATGAACAATTTCTAAAACGAGGTAAGTTATTGACAAACAAGTTGATGAAACAAGAATATCAACAGTCTCGTTCAAACTCATCATTATGTAAGTTCTATGTTCAATATATACTGACTAACGTTTTCCATACCAATTGTTAGGCTATTATTTACACACTGAATTGTCTACGGTTTTTCCGTTATTTCCCGATCATGATAAGGAGCACACGGCGGGTGTGACCGGTCGAAAGGGGATGCCAACTCCTTCATGGCAACTGATCCCAACTCTGATGTTTTTGGAGGTCCGTGTTTGCTTTGCTCCCGATTTGTATTGTTTTAATGGACTTTGAGCTTTAATACTGTTCTTATCTCCATATTTCATTTCATACAAAAAAGGCACAAATATAATTTGAGAAAACTGACCTGACGTTGACTTCTATAGAGGGATTACAAGGATCAACACATTTCTGGTTACTAGCCAGCGTGTTTGTTCCACAGCAATAGTGTATTGTATCGTTGTCTTGGTACTCATATTGGTTTACGTTGTTTGAATAAGTCAGTAGATTTAGAGTGACTACTACATTTCCTTGTACCTGTAGTGTTATAAAGACTGTCAGAGGAAAGAAAAACAAGATACCATAAACATGATCTAAACGTAATCTCATTTAAGCTTTATTTGTTTGTTTCTTCGGCTTTTGTTCCTCTGTCTATGTGTGTTTGTGTGTGGATATGAAGTACACATGAGAAACAAGTTATATATTATTTCAATCATGTTCTGTGGAAGAATGCAGTTTTGTCCTATATACTCAATGTCAAGGCAAATGGCCAAAAGATATTATAGGAGAAAGATTGTCAAGGAATTAAAAAAAAAAATATAGAAATACTGGTGCATAGGAATTATCTGCGTGCAAATCTCGGCTTAACATAAAAATGTATCTTGGTTTGCTTTCTTAACTTCTTTGCTGTATTTAATAATAAGTGACAATATTGATATTCATCTGTTGCTTTCTATGATGTTGATCCTCTAAAATATTGAATGTCTTTAAAAATTTGAGATAATATTATACAAAATATTATTAGAGGCTGAGAGAGGAATCTCTTAATAAGTAAAGCACCCTTCAGGCAAAGGAACATACTATGCCTTTCCCTATCGCAATGTTTTTTGAATGCGAATTTGCATAATGTTTTGGCTTTGAAAAAATAAAGAACTGGAATTAAATGAACTGAATTAAAAATGTTGAAAGATATCTGTTCCTGATTCATAATTTTTCAATTATATCATGATCGAGCTGTGTAGCTAAAACATAGTGATTTCATTACCAACTTTTTTATTTAGTATATTTATCTTTCTGTTAAAGCTTTTTCAAGATTTATACGAAATACACGCAATAATTGTCTGTAGTTGATAATGAATTACGTCAATTTTCCTGATTATTTTGTATTTCAATAATTATATGCAGTTTATTAAATAACCAGGTAAATTATCGAAAACACACAACTTCCTGCAATGTGCATCGCATAATTAACAACATAAAACTAAGTGGGGTTTTCACAAGGGACCTGATATAGAAAAAGTACATATGTCATACTGCAAGAGAATTTTAAATGTTAGAAAAAGTACTTGTAATGATATGATTTATTGTGAAACTTGGAAGAGTCCCACTTGAAATCTATAGAAAAAAGAAAATGTTATATTACTGGTTAAAATTACAAAATAGTGACAATTGTATACTAAAGTCATGCTTACAGGTTAGGGTAGAAAATGGTGATATGTGGATTACAAACATAATAACAAGCATTCTGAGAGTATTGCATTAGCAATACTAGTCCCCTACCGGCAAGTGTAATCTGGTTCCCGTTAAGAATTAAAAATGCCATAATTCCGTCAGAAATTAATAAAGCGGGACGAAATGCAAACTTGATCTATAACTAATCAAGGTAAAGCTACATACCAAAAATCAGCTCAATATCTACAAGCGTTTAGAAGAAAATTGCGGAAAACCCTTAAAAATTGAAAAGGCCGTAATTCCGTCAAAAATCAATGAAGCGGAACGAAATGCAAACTTGATCTGTAGCTCATCAAGATACACTCACATACCAAAAATCAGCTCAATATCTGCAAGCGTTTAGGAAAAAAATGCGGAAAACCAAGTGGGACAGACTGACAGACAGACAGAGGGACAGACAGACAGACAGACAGACAGACGGACAGACAGACAGACAGACAGACGGACGGACAGATGGACGGACAGACTCAGAGGAAACCTATAGTCCCCTCCGGTTTCACCGGTAGGGGACTAAAAAAGGAAATCAATGTAAATGGTATATCAGATCTGTATAACAACAGTCATGTAGATTCACACTCTGTTAAGATATTGCATGAAAGAATTGGGGATATTTTCACACAAAAAACATTGTCAAAAAATATTCATGCCTCGTCCAAAGGATTTTTATACCGACATTTGGTGGATAATTTTACTTTACAATCGTACCTTTGTAAACCTGTACACACAAAATATAGAACATGTGTTTTCCGAACAAGATTATGTGCTCACGATTTAAAAATTGAAAGAGGAAGATACATGTATAATGATACACCGAGGAATTTTAGAAAATGTGATCTTTGTTCTACGGGTGATTTAGGAGATGAATTTCATTTTATACTTAAATGAAAATCTGAGTAAAAAGTACATCAAAAACTATTATGCCTGTCGCCCAAGTTTTTATAAGCTAATACAATTGTTGACCAGCTCAAATACAAAGGAAATGTGTAACCTTGGAAAATATATATGTTTTGCAAACAGATTAAGAAATGAACTGTTGGATTTATAAATGCTTTATTTATTTATACTTAATATTATACTTTATATCTTGCTCATATATGAAATGTTTAATGGTGTACTATATGTATAATTTATTTATACCTATGAGATGTATGCCTCTTGGTTTTAATAAAATCTGAAATCTGATATAAAAAAAAAATCCTCGAAATATTTTGAAAATATATTCCTTGTGTAACTAATAAGATAATGATGCTAAATTCCATGCTTTCGTGAAATGTTCAACAGATTGGACCTAAACGAAAAGTATCAGATATTACACTAATTTTAAGGGTTTTAGATTTTTTTGGTCTTTTATAATGTTCTCATTTGTAAACTAAATGCACATAGATTGCGGATAATTTATGTAGATATTTTGTAACTATGTTTCATAGCTTATTTATAAAAAAAAAATCTTTATAAGTAATATAAGAACTGGGTGGATTTTTTTTTTCACATACATGAAATACTTACAATTAACGTTTCCACCATAAAAAGTATGCCAACATATAAAAATTGTCTCGTGAATGCAGCCATGATAAATATGTTAATCAACAATTAGGACGACAGATGTTCGGGTATTTTCTGATTTAATTGTTAGAACAATAGATATTCGGATATTTTCTGATTTAATTGTTATCCACTTTCATCTTGATAACAAAACAATGGGCGAACGTTTACCTTTGTGTTGATAAAGTATTAACAATAACTTCATACGACAATAGGTGGTATAGAGTTAACTTGCATACAAACATTGCGTTATTATTATTTTTAAACATATACCAAGTTTACACAGTAAGCAAAAATCGTAAAGAAAAAACAACTGTTTTATGGTATGTATGCATTCCACACCAAATTTGACAACACGGTGAATCTTAAGAAATATATTCGAAAATACTGAAGTTTTTGTGATAACTGTTTCGATCTTAACAATATCAAACCTTCTACGAAATACAGTTACTTCTTTATATATGGTTTGATCAATTCAAAAAAAAAAAAAAAAAAAAAAAAAAAAAAAAAAAAAAGTTTAAAACATAATATTTTTCATATCATGCTTCTGACAATATATGTATGTGGCGTTTTCAAAAGTATTAATATTGTCAGTGAATTTATCATTATGAAAGGGAAATAAACCTAGCCATTTTATCAGTGAATAAATATCAAAATTCCCAAAGACATCTGGGGACAAACCCAACGCTGATTGACCTTCTTGTAAAAATGTCGGTTTGTAAATTTGAATTCAAACTTTAATTACTTTATTATACGACTAGCCAAGGACAGAGCAGGCTAAACCAAATAACGACAACATTTCATTGAACAGCCTTTTTTTCAAGTAAAACACGCATTTTCCACAAATAAAAGTATAGATTAAAATTTCGCGCGAAGAGATAATCAAATAGTATGTAAAGGCACAATAAGATAACAACCAGGAAACATGGGGGTTTATAAACTGCTAGTAAAAGGTGCAAGGCAAATTGTCACCATACGTAATGACAGCAATATTAGTGTGCTTCGAGGGAAGGAGATGGGGCATGTGGATGTTATAGAGGCAAATGACGGAGATGGAGCTTGTATTCTTGTGAACAGGTGAGAATTGTACGCTTATGTACACAGGTAACACAATGTCTACAGGACTGTCACCACGTATAACGTAAACACACAAACTTATCAATGCAGCTATATATAGGGCGATTGATAATGATTTATTTACAATAGAATATTGCTGGCAAATGCTAAAAGTACCCGTCGAAAAAAAAATATGCCTTCTCTCTTAAACTGTATAAAATTGCAATCACTATGCATAAATATTTTAAATGTCAACAATTAAACAATCCGTACATCCAGCTATGCCATGAATCGAGTACATTTTTCAGTTTGTATATAAAGTGTTGGGCGTTTTCTTATTTCCCTTTAGTGATGGAAGAGTAGAATTTATTGGTTTAGACTCAGAACGAGTATCAAGATATCCAACCAGTGATGAAGAAGTGGATCACGTGATTGAGGCTGACGGGAAATGTATCCTCCCTGGTCTTGTAGATGCTCACACACATCCGGTGTGGGTTGGAGACCGAGTCCATGAGTTTGCTATGAAGGTTCTTTGTTTTCATCTTACAAATTGCACATAAATGATAACTCAAAAGTATCATGCGTACACATGTATATGCTGCATACCAAAAATAATAATACTTAATAAAACATACATTACAAGAGGCCCAAGGGCCTTAACGGTCACCTGAGTATAATACAACAATTTAGAAGTTAAATACACTGATAGTTGAAGCTTTGATACCCTAAAGCAAGAGAAGTAGGAAGATCAGGATCAACAAAATAATTAGTCTAGTATTCAGTATCAACTCATAAATTAAGTTCTAATCTGTCCCCCACTTAACACTATGCAGACTATTAACAAACTATTAGTGCTTCTGTACTATTTTTAAACCCATATTAATACCTCTAGCATTGACCTCTCTTATGGTCTTTGAAGAACTTTTAATAATATAAGTTATTTTTGTCTCATTTTTATTCATCTATTACTTACAGGTCTACCTGTTTATTAAAACTAAGAAAGTACTTTTTAATTATACGATAAACATTCTTGCATAATCATCTTATTCTATTAACCTTTCAAATACATTATTTACAGTGATTAATTATCAAAGGTGAATGGAAAAGGGGAATAACTTCTCTCAGTAGAATACAAATTAATAGAGCCCTGCCCAGGACCAGAATGCTTAGACCAATGGTCCAGATGTTTAAAAATCTGGTAGAAATACGCTTACTCATATCATTTAAATTTTTACTCAGTTTGCTTCCAATATGCCCAGAAGCAGAGAAGAATTTCACAGGTACAATGCATTTTCACTACAGATTCAACAAAGCCTTACCCTAACACCAGAACCCAAGACCAAGGGTCAAGAAATTTACAAAATTGGAAGAGTTACCCTCATCATCATAACTATGGACTTCATAGAATTAACACTTTTCCACTATATTATCAAAAGCCCCCCCCCCCCCCCCCTCGTTATGCCAGAACCCCTGACCCTAGGACCACAAGATTTAAAAATTCTGTTCGAAGCTCCCATTTTCATCATAGCTAAGCAATTTATTTATCAGCTCAACACTAAGGAGCAGACAGGGTTAATTAATGATTAATAGAATTAATGCTTTTTCACTATATAATCAATAGAGCCCCCCCCCTCCTCAAGAACCCCAAAAACTGAGGCCATATATTTAAAAATTTTGGAAGAGGCATCCTTGTCTATCATAATCATGCACTTAGTTTGTTTATATAATCTCCAGTAGCAAAGAAGAAGATTTTCATAGAATCAATGCATTTTCACTATATAATCTATAGAGCCCCGCCCTAACACCAGAACCCCTGACCCTGGGGCCATGAAATTCACAATTTTTGAAAAGGCATCCTTATGCATCATAACCATGCACTTTGTTTGTTTAAATAATCTCAAGTAGCAGAGAAGAAGATTTTCAAAGAATCAATGCATTTTCACTATATAATCAATAGAGCCCCGCCCTAACACCAGAACCCCTGTCCCAGGGGCCATGGCTTTCACAATTCTTGAAGAGGCCCACCTCCTCATCATAACTATGTACTTAGTTTATCACCTTAATGCCCAGGAGCAGAGGAGAAGATTTTCGAAGAATTAATGCATTTTCACCATATAGTCGATAGAGCCCCGCCCTAACACCAGAACCCCTCACCCTGGGGCCATGAAATTCACAATTTTGGAAGAGGTACTCTTGCTCATCATAACTATGTACTTAGTTACTTTACTTAATATCCAGAAGCAGAGAAGAAGATTTTCAAAGAATTAATGCATTTTCACTATATAATCTATAGAGCCCCGCCCTAACACCAGAACCCCTGACCCTGGGGCCATGAAATTCACAATTTTTTTAAAGGCACTTTTGCTCATCATAACTATGTACTTAGTTACTTTATTTAATACCCAGGAGCAAAGAAGAAGATTTTCAAAGAATCAATGCTTTTTCACTATATAATCTATAGAGCCCCGCCCTAACACCAGAACCCCTGACCCTGGGGCCATGAATTTCACAATTTTGGAAGAGGCACTATTGCTCATCATAACTATGTACTTAGTTTCTTTATTTGATACCCCGGAGCAGAGAAGAAGATTTTCAAAGAAATAATGCATTTTCACTATAAAATCAATAGAGCCCCGCCCTAACACCAGAACCCCTGACCCTGGGGCCATGAATTTCACAATTTCGGAAGAGGCACTCTTGCTCATCATAACTATGTACTTAGTAATTTTATTTAATACCCAGGAGCAGAGAAGAAGATTTTCAAAGAAATAATGCACTTTCACTATATGATCTATATAGCCCCACCCTGGGGCCAGAACCCCTGACCCTGGGGCCATGAATTTCACAATTTTGGTAGAGGGCTCCATGCTTATTACAATGATGCCAAAAGTTTGACTGCTTGATGTCAGGAGTAAAGAAGAAGATTTTTAAAGATTGCATTATTTTTGGTGGTTTTAGCCCCACCCCTCAGGCCCCAGGGGGGCAGGGACCATGAAATTCACAAATTTTGTTCCCCTTCACCCATAGATGCTATATACCAAATTTGGTTGAAATTGTTTGAGCGGTTCTAGAGAAGAAGTTAAAAATGTTCAAAAGTTAACGCACGACGGACGACGCACGACGACGGACGAAAACAGATAGCAATAGGTCACCTGAGTGACTCAGGTGACCTAAAAATACAGAGAGTAACACTGTTCTATACTTTTATACGCCTTTTCAAAAAATGACATCATCAGCTGATCTTATACTATTGCAATTATTGCAAGAGCCACTAATGCCATTTACTTGTTTGATATTTCAGACAAAAAAATATTATACAGTGCATCCGTATTTTTGTAGCTAGCTGGTGCGTCGTACATGGAGGTCCATGAAGCAGGTGGAGGCATTCATTTCACCGTGGAAAAGACAAGAAATGCATCCCAAGATGAATTGTATGTCAGCTTTAGCAAACGCCTTTATGATATGTTATCTACCGGAACCACGTGCGTTGAGTGTAAGAGTGGATACGGACTCGATACAGAAAGTGAAATAAAAATGCTGGAAGTGATTGAAACTGCCAAACGAGAACATCCACTGACGATATCATCTACTTTCTGTGGCGCTCATGCTATTCCAAAGTATGGTTGTAACTCTATATCTTTCTTTTGTAAAGGGAATCTTAAAAAAGTAGATAATGCAAAGAAATTTTAAAAAGAATTTGGCTTTCTAATGCTCTCTAATTTATGTTTTTAAACAAGTTCAATATTCTAGAGGGTCCACTGCGGAAAAAGCAACAGATGACGTCATAAATAAACAACTTCCTGCCATAACCAATCTCATGAAAGATGGGAAACTTCATGTCGATAATATAGACGTCTTTTGTGAGAAGGGAGTGTTCGATTTAGAACAGTCGCGAGCTATATTGAAGGCAGGAAAAGAGGCGGGTTTGAACATCAATTTTCATGGTGATGAGTTACATCCACTAGGTGGTGCTGAGGTAATGATTTGGCTGTAAATAAGATACTTACAGATTAGTATTCCATAGTGATCTTCTTTAGTCCGGATTAATTAGGTACTAATTTTACCTTCCTTTTTCAATACGTGAACATTGAATTATTTATAAATAATAGAGTCTGATCACTATTACGCTTTGTAATAGGATCATTAGCCATATTTAGAATAGCACTTAATTAAAGATCTTTCTTACATGTTAAAACAGATGTTTTAAGGAATATGATGCTGTGTAATTTACTAGTATGCAATACCATAATGTTTACTCGTATGCAGTACCATAGTGGAGTGAAATAAACTGAGATCATATGTTTCAATATGCTATACATGAACTTTTAGATGGGGGCAGAACTAGGTGCCCTCGCAATCAGTCATTTGGAGGAGATATCGGACAAGGGGATCGCCACCATGGCCAAATCTGGGTCAGTGGGCGTGGTCCTCCCCACGACAGCCTATATCCTGAGACTGAAACCTCCACCTGTCATGAAAATGATCGAAGCCGGAATGGCGGTAGCGCTAGGTTCAGATTTCAACCCAAATGCTTTCTGTATGGCAATGGTAAAATTCTTTCAAAATTTTACTCTATAAAATGATAAACTTGCCCTGAAGGGAACAAAAGAAATATGTATGAAATTAAGAAAACAAATCAAGTGTACATGTTTTTTAGGGCAAGAATTATTTAACTACATGTACATGTAACTATTTTTTGGAATTTGATCTATACCGATGTTTAGAACTATCTTTGACTAAATACTCTACAAATGGGTGAGTGGGGGACATTATGTAAATTTGAATTGAATTTCTTTTAAGTACAGCTGTACATGCGTTAATATTACCGAATAATTAACGTCCATTCTAAATTTATAATTGGTACATTTTAACATTTACAATTAATTTCTGATAACTTAAAGTGAATACATACATCAATATCTTGTGCTAATTTGTTATTTTATGACCACATTAACTTGCGGACATTCTATACAGTGCTGAAAACGTGACGATCCTTTGATACGGAATGAAACTTAGCTCGCTTTTCTTTAGAACTTGGTAGATTAATTTGTCTTTCGCGTTCATTTTATTCTTCAGCCGACAGTAATGCATCTTGCTTGCGTGCTATTGCGGATGACGATGTCAGAAGCTTTAATTGCCGCCACCCTTAATGCAGCATCCGCTGTTGGCTTATCTAAAGATTATGGATCACTGTCACCAGGAAAATACGCTGATATGGTCATTATTGATGCGCAAAGGTTAGAAATATTATATTTATTAATCAATGGGAATACGAATGAAATTTACAGAAGCAGCTTTGCTATCATCAGAATCTGGGTTGATATGTTTTGCATTGTAAATGATTGTAACAAGACATTATAGCATACTTAAGATTGAATGTGAAGATAAAAACAAGCTCCGAAATCCAGTGAAACAATACAGATTTGGAGCAGAGCAAACACGGATCTCTGAAAACATCAGAGGTGGGATCAGGTGCCATAGAGGAGTAAACATCCCAACATCCCCTGTCAACCACTTATACCCGCCGTGTGCCCTTTGTCATGATCAGACAAACGAAGAAGTATGAAAATAATAAAAGACGTCAGTCAATACTCGACCTAACGGCAGATTGTATTTGCAAATAGTCATATTGTGTCGACCTTAGAATTTGCTAAATGTTGCCTTTAACATGAGAAGAAAACATTTCCTGTTCAATATATCGACGAGGTATTATCAATTAACAATTGTTACTTCCATCCACTTGTCGATTCAATATATATCCAAGTGAACTCGAAATGAAAGACACCACAGAGTCTGTCACATCTGTTTCATCATATTTTGATATTTTACTGATTATAGACGTTAAGGGCCAATTAACAACTAAACTGTATGACAAACGAGATGACTTCAGCTTTTTCATCGTCAACTTTCCATATTTATATCCAACATCATCTGCATATGGAGTTTATCTCTCCCAACTGATTCGATACTCAAAAGCATGCTCTAGGTATGATCAAATTTTAAACCGGTGCAGGTTTCTGACAGATAAGTTACAGGGATTTCAACAACCTTGTTTAAAGTCAGCATTTCGTAAATTCTATGGTCGTTATAATCACCGTGTAGCAAATATAACCTATCATGGAGTCGTATTTTGACTGACTGATATATTAGGTCTTAGTTTTTATATGAAACTTTGCTAAGGAATATTCAGACTACCAGATAAATACATAGGGCTCACGGCGGGTGTGACCGATCGGCAGGACCTAGGCACCTGATCTCACCTCTGGAACTTCTAGGTGTCCGTGTTTTATGCCCCGTTCACAGATTTGTATTGTTCGTAGCATTTTTTCTCTTTTAGGTCGATCACGGTTCGTTATCTTCATCATTTTCACTTGAAACAAGATTGGTTTTTTTTAGGTGGGAGCATTTGATCTACCAGTTTGGAAATCACGATAAAATCATAGAATACGTCATCAAGGAGGGAGACATCCTTCACACAAAATATGAATGTTGTGGATAGAGATGTATAGGATTCACCAATCATATCCACTGTCTCTTTCTACTGACAAGTTTGCAATTAATCATACTCCAATGCACGTAATAAACGCATTAAAAAAATTAGATGTCTACTTTTTTTTCATTATATATAATTATATATATATATATATATATATATATATATAGAGAGAGAGAGAGAGAGAGAGAGAGAGAGAGAGAGAGAGATTTACTATATATAAATACAATGTATATTCATGTATTGGGGATGGCAATCGAATACAGAATATTGCCAATCGGTTAACCGAAAGACGTTCCTACCGATTAATCTGCTAATCGTATCGAATTTTTTTGACATATTTCATCATTGTAAGCTCTATTCAAACAAACAGGATGACTATAAAAGTGTTATATTATGTTTAGATTTTATCAGAACACTGTATATATTTTATTTCAATATATTTACATTTCCAAGGTCTTTGTCCGAGATAAAATTTCAAATAGTAAAAATACTCTATTTCTACATAAATCTACTGGTTCATCGATAGGCATGGTGAAAAAAAATCACGTGCGGGGCGGGACAAATAGAGACAGAAGCGGGGCTTGTAGCACGTGAATTTGCAGAATCAAGAGCATATGAATATAGGGAATAACTGTCAGATTTTTTGGTTTCATGACAATGATCAATCGATTGGCTTGCGTGATAATTTTATGCATAAACGCCTTCGGCGTTTATGCAAATTATCACGCGAGCCAATCGATTGATCACATCATGAAACCAAAAAATTAGACAGTTATTCCTTAATTCAATAGGGAAATTTTTTTAGAAACCCTTGAAACAGGCCTGAAGTATCGGCTACATTAAAGAATTTTCAGACCAGATGTCACGCAAGTTCTTTCTGCATTGTCACCATAATCAGAGCTAACAAAATGTGAACTATCGCTTAATTTACAGTGTTTGATTTACATGTTTAATAATATAATTTGATAGATAACTGCAAAGGATAGAAGAGGTAAAAACATTATAACCAGTTAATGGTACTCAATGACCATTTAACAGAAATCATTAAAGAAACACAGGAGAGACTGAATTACGACAATTAATTGTTTAAACAGCAATTAACATCTTCAAAACTGACCAATTATCACTACGGTATCAATCAGTAGAGCATTAATCATCTCCAAATCAGCTCAAATAGATAGAAATTAAATACTAACATTTCAGAAATTTTTATTAGTTTTCTTTTGTTGAATTTTCGGGAAATTACGTTCAAATTTACATACGTTTTTATTTTTCCGACTATCCGACTACAGATTTTCTAACCAATTACCGTCATTTCAACCGAATAACAGGTTAAACAGTTACAAATTGAAATCCCTAATATATATGGAATTTAGCCTATTAATTGACTGATAGAATAAAAAAAATCCTCCCAAACATTGTCAGCAATGGTCAATAAAATTTAAATCAATAAATTAAATGACAAAAGCAGTCTAGCCTCAATTGTTTTCATAAATAAAACTCTAATTCCATAGATGATATTGTTTTATTGTTACATTGTATAAGTTGTCAGTGCTTTTGATTGATTCCAAAGCATGTTCAGTGATTGAATACCCTGACAATTTGTTCACGTTCTCATGAAATGCTGTCACCAATACGGCAAGGTAGAGATTTCTATCAAATCTGCATGACCAAGATAAAGTTTTCTCTTAGTATTGGAAGAAATAAGCTAGCTCTTCCTCCTCTCTAGATGCTTGATCCGCCCCATCATCCTCCCGTTTCTTGTGTCGCGGGGGCTCTGATCGGAACACAAGTTTTCGGCCCGTCTGTAAAGAATGGTCAATGTAAATTAATAAATATTTATGTAATTGATATTCACAGTATACCCTTTGTCCATATCATTTCAAGGCATGAAATCACTAAGTTTAAAAGGAACTCCGCCTAAAAATATTTATCCATTTCAGGCATACATGTATTTATCAACTACATTGGCCAACATCTAGGGCAGATTTAATCCAGTGTATTTAATCTTTCACGATCTAATAAAACATTCTGTTTAAGGTTTACAGACCTGTTTCTTTGGCTCTGCTTTTGCTCGTTCCAGTGCTTTGCGTACTCTCTCCTCCTGGTGTAACCTTTGCTGTTCTATCTTTTCCTCCCGGAGTTTTAACCTCCTCTCTTTATCTTTAGCCTTTATGTCAAAGATTCATATACAATCAAAATATAACTGCATGCATATTTTTTTTATTATCCGAACAGAAGATAAAGAAATATAATTAGACATCCTTCTACTTTAACACTTTCTTATCCAATGCTTCCATTTCTTGAATATCCATCCTCAAACACTCATTTTGATTTTAAAGATCAATAAAAGAAAAAAGAATATTTTCCTATAACAGGGAAGATCTCACTTTAGGAAAAACAAAAACGAGAAACACCGTTATTTTTGGCGTGATTTGACGTACCTTTTCGGCCGCTTCTACTTTATCTTGTGGCATTGTTTCTATCATTTCAAATAATTCTTCTAACCTGTTTTCTATATTAGTTAACATCTGTAATGTGCTACAATATATATTGAGAAAATAAATGCAGTCACTGTTGTACAGGCATCATATGTTGCAAAACTACATGCTCTGTATAGATCTGTAAAACAAATTACAAGTCTATAAAACTCCTTACAAAACTACGATGGAGGGACCTTGAAATTCACATCTTTTGTTTCTCTTTGCCTGATAGTTTTATACAGTGAACTAAAATTGGTTGAAATTGTTGCAGAAAATATTTACTATATTATCTACTTTTAATAAATAAAATTAAAGAACTGTAGGGTGACAGTTTTTCATCTTTACTTATAATTGTTTTATGACATTTTCCCTCCATATTCCAGTTTAAAGATATGAATAAATTGTTAGGTTTTTAATCACAATACATATTTCCCATTCACTAAAAAACTATATTAAAAAAAAACTTTTTATAGCCATTTATTGGTAGCAATACACTTTGTTTCATTCAGAAAAAATCGGCTACACCTGACTAGGAAATGTATATTCCACCTTTGTGTTAAATTCACCTTTTCAACCTTCACCATGCTAGCAAAAAAGTAGTATGAGGAAAATATTACGTGGTGATTTTTTCTCCCACCTTGATATATTTTTTTTAACCTGCACCGTGTTTTCAAAAATAAAGGAACTGTGTTACCTTCTCCCTTTGATTTAGAGTAAAATAATATGTGTCAAGAAAGCACAACACAGTAGGATACTGACGGTCTGTTTAGGCAACCTTCCCCAGATCTGAGATTATAGAGGCATACTGTCCAGATATGTAAGAGTTATCTCCCTTTTTCAAAATAAACTAGCGCTATTAATTTCAGCTATTAGTAAATTAAAGCACACATATCTAGTACATGTATTATAAGATGTTTTAGTTTATATGAGTAGACATCTACTATAAACACATGTTGATATATCAAATGAAAACATTTTTTTTCAGCAGTAATTAAACATCTGAAGAGAGATAACTCACTGTTACGCAAAAGCAGTAGCAGAGCTTATAGAAAAGTAAGCAAATGTATGACAATCATGTAATGAATAATTGACTACATTGTAATGTCTATAATTTTTAGTAAAACACAACATTGAGACATGGTTTTCTATTATGAATGATCTGATAGAAAATTTAATAAAAATGATAAGGGTTTCTCTCAGAGAAAAGTGCAAAGGCAACCGCTAGCACTAAAAAAATGTACATTGTATAAATGAATCAATATCTATGGATAGTGTATGAAGTTGATGATAAGAATGTATTTAGCAAAATTATAGATTTATTTAAAGAAATGAATCTGTCATAAAATGAATACGCCATTAGTCATACATTTACAAGTCTGGACAAAAGAAGCACCGAATGGCTCCAACACCCTGCCACTCAGAGACCTACACAGAAGGTTGCCATAGTTACAGACAGTGCACTAACCTAATGTTTGCCTCATTGTCACCAATGCATGACCGATACACTTCCTCCACCCGAGAGTTCAGAGAATCTAACATCTTCTGTTGGTCCTCTGCTTTGAATTCACCATAGGAAAATAATCTGGATAAAAAGAAAATGCAAGCTTAAGAACTAACAAATAAATTCATGGTAAATTAATTCTTTTACATTGTAATTGTGTTTTAACAAAAGTAAACATGAAGATGAAAGAAGGATAATGTTCATTTATTACTGATTTAAGTAGAAAACTTGTCAAAAAATTTCATACAGCAAGATTCATACATATAAGACCACATAGTACAATATTTGGATGTATATGTGGCCACTATTTCTCCTTTCTTGAGAGAGTGAGAGAGAGAGATGGAGATGGGGCAATTATATTTATCTACAAGAAACAACATATGGTATTGTACAGGTAAGGTTTATGGTGTATATTATGGTTTGATACTGGGTCCTTTGGCATATATGTGGCAATAAATGAATATACATGTATGTCAAGAGATCATGCTTGAAATTTACTATTGTGGTGCATATGAGGTTTTCCAAAGCATGCATTAATGCATGGAAGAACTGAGTACAAACCCCAATATCCCTACTGTCTTAAGCATTTCACTGAACAAAATAATATAATCAATTTATATACAGAAATTATGTTCACAGAAAAGCTTAGGGCAAATTAGAGCTGACATAGTTAACAAAAATACTGTACATCTTAATCTTTTTTTTTCAACAAAAGTGAAGAGAAAAATAAATGTCATTGTAAAGAAAAAATTCAAAGATGTTTCATGTATAACAATGTTGTATATGCAGTCTTCTTTGGACATAACAGTTAAAGAAGTGAATAACAATAATTTAAAGAATAACCATAGTTAGTTAATGCATGGAAAATTCTATACAATGATTACCTAGCTTTGATCTTTAAATCTGCTGCCTTGGACTCTTCTCGCGATATCTGTGAATTTAATTTGTCTATTTGTTCTTTTAATATTGAAGTTTCTTTTTCCCTGAAACAAATTGAGAAATACATTAACTAACATTTTAAGAGCAATGGTGAATAAAAAGGATTAGAAATGCCATTCTAAATTCACAGCACTTGATTTCAATTAACTGTAAAATATCTCTAGATCTAAATAAATCAACCCATTTGAAACCTGACAAGATTTTAAATATATGCCAGGAAAAATCTGCAATATGTGCCAATATATAGAATAATGCTAAATGTTGTTGCTCTTAATCTGCATAAATTGAATATTTTGATATAAGACAGACATACTCCAGCGATAAGGTTTTATTGCTATTGCCCCAAACCCAGTTTTTATGGTTTGTTTCATGGTGTTACATGTATCTTAACTTTTTGTATGTTTTAGGTTTGTTTCATGGTGTGACACATATTTTATTTTTTTTCTGTTTTAGGTTTGTTTCATGGTGTTACACACATTTTAACTTTTATCTGTTTTAGGTTTGTTTCATAGTGTTACACACATTTTAACTTTTGTCTGTTTTATGGTTTGTTTCATGGTGTTACACACATTTTAACTTTTTGCATGTTTTAGGTTTGTTTTATGGTGTTACAAACATTTTAACTTTTTGTCTGTTTTAGGTTTGTTTCATGGTGTCACACACATTTTAACTTTTATCTGTTTTAGGTTTGTTTCATGGTGTTACACACATTTTAACTTTTGTCTGTTTTTTGGTTTGTTTCATGGTGTTACACACATTTTAACTTTTTGGATGTTTTAGGCTTGTTTTATGGTGTTACAAACATTTTAACTTTTTGTCTGTTTTAGGTTTGTTTCATGGTGTCACACACATTTTAACTTTTATCTGTTTCAGGTTTGTTTCATGGTGTTACACACATTTTAACTTTTGTCTGTTTTAGGTTTGTTTCATGGTGTTGCACACATTTTAACTTTGTATGTTTTAGGTTTGTTTCATGGTGTTACACACATTTTAACTTTTTGTATGTTTTAAGTTTGTTTTATGGTGTTACATACATTTTAACTTTTTGTCTGTTTCATGGTTTGTTTCATGGTGTTACAAACATTTTAACTTTTGTATGCTTTAGGTTTGTTTCATGGTGTTCACACATTTTAACTTTTATCTGTTTTAGGTTTGTTTCATGGTGTTACACACATTTTAACTTTTGTCTGTTTTATGGTCTGTTTCATTTCTTCTAATGCCTCCTCAGTTTCTTGACTGTTCTGAATCAGCGATAAATTCTGTTCTTCCAAATCTGCGAAAATGTCTAGCAGTTCTTGTGGATGTGTGAAAAACAATTCCAAATCCTGAAATAGAATAATAAAAAATAAAACACATAACATAATTGGTGATTAGAAAGTAATAAGTAAATGATAATATGATACTTCAATGAACTGTTGAAAAAAGAGAAAATTTGATCCAGTTTATTCGTAATAACATTTCTTTTATTTTTTAGATAGAATGGAAACTCATCAATCATATATGATTATGGAAAGCCCCCCCTCCCCCCCCCCCACCCCCCCCCAAAAAAGTGGACACAGAGTAAAGTATCAAGAATTTAAAGTCTCTCTGCAATTATTTGATAATCCTCCTCCTATACAATTATTTGATAATTCTCCTATACAATTATTAGATAATTCTTCTCTTATACAATTATAAGATAATTCTCCTCCTATATAATTATAAGATAATTAGATCTCCTCCTATACAATGATTTGATAATCCTCCTCCTATACAATGATTTGATAATCCTCCTCCTATACAATGATTTGATAATCCTCCTCCTATACAATGATTTGATAATACCCCTCCTATACAATGATTTGATAATTCTCTCCTATACAGTTATTTGATAATTCTCCTCCTACACAATTTTAAGATAATTCTCCTCCTATACAATTATAAGATAATTCTCCTCCTATATAATTATAAGATAATTAGATCTCCTCCTATACAATGATTTGATAATCCTCCTCCTATACAATGATTTGATAATTCCCCTCCTATACAATGATTTGATAATTCTCTCCTATACAGTTATTTGATAATTCTCCTCCTACACAATTTTAAGATAATTCTCCTCCTATACAATTATTAGATAATTCTCCTCCTATATAATTATAAGATAATTAGATCTCCTCCTATACAATGATTTGATAATCCTCCTCCTATACAATGATTTGATAATTCTCTCCTATACAGTTATTTGATAATTCTCCTCCTACACAATTTTAAGATAATTCTCCTCCTATACAATTATAAGATAATTCTCCTCCTATATAATTATAAGATAATTAGATCTCCTCCTATACAATGATTTGATAATTCTCCTCCTATACAATGATTTGATAATTCTCTCCTATACAGTTATTTGATAATTCTCCTCCTACACAATTTTAAGATAATTCTCCTCCTATACAATTATTAGATAATTCTCCTCCTATACAATGATTTGATAATTCCCCTCCTATACAATGATTTGATAATCCTCCTCCAATACAATGATTTGATAATTCTCCTCCTATACAATGATTTGATACTTCTCCTCCAATACAATGATTTGATAATTCTCCTCCTACACAATTTTAAGATAATTCTCCTCCTATACAATGATTAGATAATCCTCCTCCAATACAATGATTTGATAATTCTCCTCCTATACAATGATTTGATAATCCTCCTCCTACACAATGATTAGATAATTCTCCTCCTATACAATGATTTGATAATCCTCCTCCTATACAATGATTTGATAATCCTCCTCCTATACAATGATTAGATAATCCTCCTCCTATACAATGATTTGATAATCCTCCTCCTATACAATGATTTGATAATCCTCCTCCTATACAATGATTTGATAATCCTCCTCCTATACAATGATTAGATAATTCTCCTCCTATACAATGATTTGATAATTCTCCTCCTATACAATGATTTGATAATCCTCCTCCTATACAATGATTAGATAATTCTCCTCCTATACAATGATTTGATAATTCTCCTCCTATACAATGATTTGATAATTCTCCTCCTATACAATTATTTGATAATTCTCCTCCTACACAATTTTAAGATAATTCTCCTCCTATACAATGATTAGATAATTCTCCTCCTATACAATGATTAGATAATTCTCCTCCTATACAATGATTTGATAATCCTCCTCCTATACAATAATTTGATAATCCTCCTCATATACAATGATTAGATAATTCTCCTCCTATGCAATTATTAGATAATTCTCCTCCTATACAATTATTAGATAATTCTTCTACTATACAATTATTAAATAATTCTTCTCATATACAATTATTAGATAATTCTCCTCCTATTCAATTATTAGATAATTCTCCTATACAATTATTAGATAATTCTCCTCCTATACAATTATTAGATAATTCTTCTCCTATACAATTATTAGATAATTCTCCCCTATACAATTATTAGATAATTCTCCTCCTATACAATGTATGTATTTACCTCATCACTTTCCTCGTCTTCTTCTTCATCTACCTCCTCTGGTCTAAATGAGAAAATATCAAAGATTCTTACAGCTCCATCTTTAAATATGTCTAATCCCTGCATGATAATTTTTTAAAGATGTTTGAACAGTATTTCATTCGATTAATTGATATCTGATTTCTTTGAATAACTTTTCTATTTTAATGCTTCATTGTAAATCACTGACATCAGATACTTTTTTCGGTTTTTAATAAAAATGACATTTAAGACATGCTACCCAATATGAAACTTGTTGAGGTTGTACTTACTTTTTGGCTGGGGGTTTTGAGACAGGTGGGGGAGGGGGTTTTGGCATCGCTTTCTTTTTGCCCTTGAAATCTTTTGGATCTGATTCTAGAAGACTCTTTTTGTAAGCAATCATCTCTTGTTCTTTTGCTTTCTTCCTCTCCTCTCGTCTCTTCTTTTTCTGCTTCTCTTTTTTGTCACGCCACTCCTGTTTTGATTTAAAGATTATGAAAATTTTCTTAGCGTGAACATGTATGTAAAAATTCTTACGTCTTTAAAATTTGAAGGGAAAAAAATTACAAAAATAATTATCACAGGAGTACATCTGCTTTATAGTATATAATAAAAAGGGAAAAAACATTCAAGAGGAGAAAAAAAAAACGATTTGTATGCGTATAAAACAAAACAAAACGAAATAAAATAAAATGCAGAGGAATAGTCCCCTATATACTGGTATTTCTCTCCCTGCAAGCAGAGTTTGTACAAAATAAGCTGTGCCACCATAGCCCACAAACCTGAGGTGTAAGATTGTCCAGGAATTTTCTGTACATTTGATATTCTTTTAATGTGTCTTCATATTTAGAAATCTCGGATTTGATGGCCATCATTGCTGCATTTACTTTCTTTATCTCTGCCACTTTTTCAAGTTTAGCTTTTGTTTCATTCTCAGCCCTGTTTTCATAAATCCAAAAAATTACTAATATGATTATAAAGGTTCCATTTTCATCATAGACAGTTGATTTTACAAAGTTGAAAGCAATCAGTAGATATGACATTTTTTTTCAAATTATTTCATTAATTAACAGATAACATACTAGTTAAAATTTATGCCATTTCAAATTATTTCCATAAGTTTTGAAACAAACTATAAAGGCTCCCTAAAATATCATCAATGCAGGCCCCTTCTAATGCTTGAAAATGTAGAAATAACAAGCTCAAATTTGAAAAACTTCCCATCTACTGAGTACATATATCTACAAGTAGGTTGTAACACTGGCAAATATTCAATATGTATGACCATTCCTTTGGTGTTACCTCCACCCATTGGACTTTAAAGTGCTTTTAATTAATTCTTTTACTCCCATGCTTGTAAAGCACACTTCAGAACACACTACACAAACCTTGGGAGTAAGTCTCTCTAAGAACTTTCTGTACATTTCATATTCTCTCAACATATCCTCAAATTTTGTAATTTCTGAGCGAACAGTCATGATCACACTAGAGATTTGTTTTATCTCTAATACTTTTTCCATTTTCTCCCTGCTCTCCTTCTCACAACTAAATTTTAAATGAATGTCAAAGTTTTTATTGTTTTTTTTTATTCTTTCTCTTGCATGAAAGGAGACAGAAAATCATTTTTGCTCAATAAAGTTAAGTATACAAAACTGATATTTAGATTCTATCATTGAAAGATGCACTTCTTTAGTTTATGCTTCATTTTCAGTTTGCTAATATCAAAACAGAGGTGTTTGATGTTCACTTTTTCAAAAATTTTCAAAAAAAATAGGTCATTTATCTTCCTGATTTACTACCTTATCCATGACTTAATTATTAGCCCCCTGTTCTACTTTCTTGTCCATGACTTAATTATAACTTACTCTCGGACAGCTTCATTTGACCCATGGTCATTCTCTTTGAGGAATTCGTCAAACATGGCAGCGTCCTCCTGTAGGTATAACTCGGCCAAGTCCAGCTTTTTCTCCTCTGCCTGTGAGATTTCCTCCAGTTTACTCATCTCATTTCTCTTCACTCCCAGAGAGTACTAAATAAAAAAAATGTTAACAGTTAACAGGAAACAAAAGAGGAGACTAAGAGAACTGATAGAATTAAACATAAGAGCTTTTACATACTTGGACTAGAAACATCTCCCTCTTTTTGGCTATGTATTCTGCTAGAGATTCCTTTTCTACATGTCGGTCTGATTGGCAATTGAAAATAACAAGCAGTTAGGCAAAGAATATGTAACTTAAATGCATATCTATGAAACGACTCTTTTACTTTGTTCTTAGTGTAAATTATAAAAGAAAAGTTATATATTGCTTTAAAAATTTTGAAATTGTCTGAACAAAAGTTTGTTTTAACAAGGGAAAGCACCAAAATAATAATGATAAAAAAAATAAAAATGTGATTCTATTATATAATGAAGCAATTTTGGCTAACTTTATTTAGTAATGAAGATTACAAGCATCACCTCTAGTGACAGCAATAGTGTGTTCTGGGTCATCTTTTACTGCAATGGCTTTATCTGAATCCTCCATTTCCTTTTCTTCATCTGAATCCACTGGTTTGATCATTGATGCTGTGCGAAAATTCACTTTTGATGCATACGTTGTTTTCTCATGAACTCTCAGTTTACGTTGTTTTTCCCTTTCCTTTCAAATTAATTTATTTTGATCAATGAAAAGAAGATTGTTGAATCATGTTCTTTTTGAAGAATTAACATTAATAATTGTGCCAATTATTATATCCACAAAGTTGTAAGTATATACAATTAAAAAAAAGAGAACCTTAATTGAAAAAAAATCAAAATATCAATCAATTAGAGAATCTTTATTGAATAAAAAATTCAAAATATTGATCAATTAATGAACTATTACCATCTTTTTCCTCTGTCTTTCTTTGTCTCTGAGAACAAAAATATCACTGTCTGCAGGCATTTTGAATGGATTTCCTTGAGGAACAAGTTCATCTATAAAATCCATATATTAAAATAAAAAAAAAAAAATAGCAAGTCAAATTTGTACTATATACATATACAAGTATTGTGATACAAATAACAAAGCACTAATCATCAAAGTAAAATAATAGACTAAGGATATATTTCTTAACACAAATAATGAGAAAAATATAATAAATACATTAAATTGTTAAAAAGAATGACAATTTTGACAAGTTCATATTAACTACAATTATACTCAATGGTCATGTAAATAATTACAAAGTAATATATTTCAATAAATAAAATGAACACCTGACAATATATTCAAATAAATAAAATGAACACCTGACAACACAGTAGATACAGATTTGGCCGAATTTGGGAATGTAACTCTTCCTGATTGCCTGGACCCATCTTGTCCTATAAATACAGTTTAAAAACATAATATATTGTTCAAATTAAAAATGGAAAAATGTATGATAGCATAACTTTGTAATTAAGAATCTCCTAAATATTTACATAAGTCATATTGCCATACATTTTTCGTATGAAAAAATGCCATAAAATAATGTTTCCTAGCATCTAAGCCTAAAACCGGGTTCATGGGACAATATTATTTTAACGATAGAATATCTATTAGGACTATCTTTATAATACTTTATATTATAAAAAAAAAAATCAAAACTTACTAGATTTTTTTCCAGAAACCTCTGAGTTAGGTGAAACTGCATTAGATCTGGTCGGTGAATCTGCCATTGTCTCTTGTATTATTGCTAGCTGGAATTACAAAATTCGAGGAAATTCGAATAGTAAATAAGATTTTGCACAGTACATACAATATTTTGCAGTTGGTAAATAAATAAAAGATTTTACAAGTAATAAAAAAAAGATCCGTGCAAAGGAGTATTTCTTTCTGAACTAAAAGATGACAACAAAATAAAATTAACGCATACATTTATAACCTGTCAACAATCTTCAAAGGCTACAAGTATCCCTCTCAGGCCTCTCTGTTTACAATATCCGTGGCAACAATCCACTCGGAACACCTCGCACCCTTTCAGTCTTTACTTCCGTTTGTGGATGAGTAGAAGTCGAGCCCGGAATCAAAGGAAAGGAAATGTCGTATGCTGACTTGAGTGTGCAGATTTGTGACAGGAAAATATTGCTGGAAAAGATTGGACTAGCAATAAAACGTAAATATATCTTTGTTTCTCTCTCCATTGCCATAAAAATTAAAATGTTACAGGAACGAAGTTGGCGGTGCTTTTTCCCACGTGTTTACAATTACAGTATCTTGATCCCGTTTGGAATATAATATTTTAAATTTGTATATTTTAGTTGGATATGAAGTTATTGCAGTAGATATTGTACACACACCCTCAAAAAATGTTATGAAGAAAAAGAAAAAGCAGAAAGACCAGGTATGTATTTTGATAAGAATCGTGTCTAATAAAATTTTTTAGAAGTGCTGATTCAGAATAGTCAGGACATGATCCACAGTTGGATGGAGTACATCCTAACTCTTGGCTTTGTGTTAGCATACCTCAATGATAATTTTATTGGTACTCTCTTAAGCATAGGAGTTTTGGTCTATTTTTTAGAGTGTCATTTTTATGCAATATTATAGGCTGGTGATGGAGTGATGAAAGCTTGTACATTAAAACTTACAGATGAAGAATTAAAAAGTCTCCAAGTAGGTATAAGCACATAGATCTACAGCATAATATGTCATACATGTACATTTCAACTATGATGTCAGATTTATTTTGCACTGGAAATGGAGCATAGCTTTTTTTTTTACAGGTTGACACCAAACGTGTTAAGATTCTGAGCCGAGTGACCTTGAACGTTTCTGACAGTGACCAGTTGCAGTATTTGGTAATAAACAATTGTGACATGAACTCAGATGTTACATACATTAAACATCATACATCATATTTATAAATTCAACAGAGCTTTAGCCATGTTTGTCTTTAATTTTAATTGTTTTTGTGGAAAATAACTTTTTTTCAAGTTCCAATTTATGTACTTAATATACTTGAAAGTACCCCCACAAAGAAGATTCTGTAATTCATTCTAAGTAAACCTTGTGATATACTGAGGCAGTTGGTCATTTAACTACTTTCTACACTACCAAACAGGCTCATAGGAAGCTCTTTCAGTTGGGGGGGGGGGGTAAACATTTTCAGGTTGGGGGGGGAGGGGGCACTACCAAAACAAGAACACCTTGATGAGCTGAAAAAAGGTCATCAGTCATAATTATTGAGGGAGTACATCTATATTAAAGTAACTTTGATTTCTATAGTATACTATATATCTGACCCGCCTTATGATATCCAGAGGGAATAAAACCAGGATTTTTACATGTTTTATTCAGAACACTTTATAGGTTGCTGAAACTTAGGGTCACAAAAACCTCCAAAATTTCTGAAGTACAGTATGTTAAGGTTTCAGCAACTGTCTGTGAATATTGTTAGCAATATAGCACAGTATACAATGTAAAACAACAGCAAAATTACTTAACGAACATGCTATATATGTAACCTGATTGGACTTATTGTTCTTTAGATGTCTCCAGAAGTTCAGGAATATGACATTGTTGCTGTTCGACCAACATCTTCTGAAATCTTTGCTGTAAGTCCATTTATCACAGACACAATATTGTTACATTTCACATTTGTGTATTACTGCAGTTTGGTTTATACACAGATAAGGTTAAATAAAAAGTGTTCCACCTAAAAACAAAATGGCATTGAGTGTGATGTAGTCCTTTAATTTTGCCAATTTTTAAATACTAAAATAAATAACTAGGATGATTCAAATAATTTTTTTCCAGAAAGCTGCAAAGTATGTCAACTTAGATATAATTCAACTAGAAATGGAGAAAAATACCAAAGTTATAACACCAGGAGGTCTTAGTGAGGTGAGTACTGTTGTTAGATATAGAGAAAATCAAAAAAGTTATAACACCAGGGCGTCTAAGTGAGGTTAGTACTGTTAGATATAGAGAAAACCAAAAAAGTTATAACGCAAGAAGTCTAAGTGAGGTTAGTACTGTTAGATATAGACCTGCCTTATGATATCCAGAGGGAATAAGACCAGGATTTTTACATGTTTTATGCAGAACAGTTTATAGGTTGCTGAAACTTAGGGTCACAAATTATCATAATTTATGACCATTAAGACACGAATGGATAACCTTGTCATTATGTCGTATGTTTTGGAGGTCTCTTTATTGGGATTCTGTTTGAGCAGGGCATACAGAAGGGAATCCATTTTGAGATCCAGTATGGTCCTGCCATCAGAGACAGCTCTGTAAAGAGGTATCTTATCTCCAACTCCCAGCTTCTGGCCAGCTTCAGCAAATCTAAGGTTTGAATATATAACACTAGCAAATATTGGACATGTTTGATAGAAAAGTAAGGTGCTGGTATTCACATCACCACTTAATTTATGGACTCATGAGTCCTCATGGGGATGGAGAGAATACGTATGAGGGATGCTCAAAAATAATGGGGACTTGTTGCACAAATAAGAAATTGATGACATAGACACAATCAGAAAGTTACACATACATTGTAATATAACAGAATCTTTATTTATATGCTGAGCTCCAGATAATTTTTTAGCTCAAAGTATAAGAACTACGCACGCTAACTCTCGATTCCCGCCTACATTTTACACCGATTTCATTCAATACCAATGGCAATTTGGCTGCAAATTCTTTGTTGAATGCAAAGGACAGTTCAATGGTAATTGACTGATAATTTTAATGCCAGTGTTAAATAGTTAATTACCCCTAATTGCAGCTCTTTAAATAAGGGGGGTAGATGATATTTTCCATTGAAATCGGGCTTTCAAGCATCAATACATTGTAAAATATTCTTGGATATGAATAAATGTTCCTTAAATCTTTTCTTAAGTTTTACGCATATAAAATTAAACATATTTTATTAATAAATTACAATGTTTTAGTTGTAAAACCCTTTGAAATTGGTGAAAAATAAGCATTTTTGTAGTTTTTTTGTCTGTAAAATTATGTTCCCCCCCCATGAAACACAAAAAGCTTTGGTATGAATTTGTGAAATAACAGTCTATATTACCTGTAAAAAGGAATTTTTGTTTCACGGGGGGGGGGGGGGGGGGGGGGGGGGGGGGGGGAAGATGTTTTAAAAATATTTTCCGTTTTCCGTTGATTTCTATAGTGAAAAACACAAGTTTTACCCAAATTATAGAGTTACCTCTTTTTATTTTCCCATTGAAGTAATGTTTTATGAAAATTCATATAAATATCTATATAAATATGAAAAATCATTCAAATATGTTAACTTTTGAAAATTGACTTGGAGGTAGGTGGGAGAACAATGCTATCGTTCGCAGTTCTTTACTGCCTGATTTTCAAATCAATGCAGATTTTGCTTTTCAGCAAAAATAATTAAAGAGTACTCTGAAATCTATTGGTCTTTTGACATATACATGTAATGTGATTTTTAGCTTGTTATCGAAATAAGTGTTTTGAAAGAGGAATGTAAAAAAAGGACAGTTTCTACATTTATCAATTAGGTTAATGAAATTTTAAAATTTTGTCAGCTTTTAGCTATACATGTAAGTGAGAAACATTTCGTTTCTTTCACCAGAAAGACCCTATGGTAGGCAAAGTTACTTGTACCACGGGCACACAGAACTCCATTTAAGATTAGGCCTATATCGATCGTAGCAAGAGTTACGGAGAAAAAAATCTTTCCTTCGGCCAGATTAAATAAATCTTTAGATTTTCATCCCCACCTGCCCCTCTCAAAATGTCTTGCCCCGTTGTTTTCCTTATTATTTTTTTTTTGTTATCAAAAATATATATAATGTTTTACTATATAAATTGTTGGTAAAAGTTTTAGAGTTACTCCCCGTTTGCATTTAATGTCAGGTGGTGCTATTTATAGCACAGGCACACATGGAAAGCAAAAAATTTGGAATTATTTTCATACAATTAATAAACGTCTAGGTTATTCCGTATACGCTTATAAATCAAAATTACCTTTTGATAAAAATTCAAACACTGAGCTGAATTTACTTCACATAATTAGCTAAATCATACTTGTATCATTCAATCCATCGTACGAAGTACTTTCGTAGTGTAATGCTTATTTATAATTGCTAATGCGCAATTGTACGCTCTGTTTTAATTTTTAATGCATATTTTGAAAAATTCAATGCATATTTCTGCAAATACGCACCTTACCTGGAGCTCTGTATATGGTAAGCAAAACTTTATATCATAATGTTGTAAACTGATATCAATTTGGGTGATTACTTAGGATATATCACAAAGTGCAGTTAATTCTTCAACATCATGGGATTCATAGAATTATTTTATTTTTAAGATTAATGGATTAGTTTCTCAACATTTTCCCTGAGTGTTTGTTACACAATTTGGGTTACCTTATCCACTCGGCATAAACATCCGTTTACCATTTCTGGACCACCTTGAAAATTATGAAACCAGTATAGCATGTTCTAGTTTGTTTTTAAACCACAAACTGTAGATATTTCTGAAATATTGTTTAACTTCGATCCCTGTCAATTACATTCTTAATAGTCCAGATCAACAATTCATCGATGATCTTCTGTCCCCTCCCAGATTATCTTTTACTGAGGTTCTATCATCCAAAATTCTCTTTTTGCTATTTGTGGAAAGGTGTTGGTAATGGTTTATTCCATGTTTCATCAGGAATGTTTTGAGTCTCTGTTGGCTTTTTCTGAGCATTACACATGATTTAATAAAAGTGCACTGCTCCATCAAATCACTTGATATTTGCAGTTGTTTTCAAAGGAATCACATCAGAGAAAAATCACAAGGTTTCAGATAGTACTTCAAATAATTACTTCAGAAATCTAAATAAATAATCATACAACAATAAAAGGAAACTTAGAAAATTGTTGAATTATATCGCAAAAAATGGAAATTTTTTGATTAAGTGGTTTTCAAAATTTTTGCTCAATCGGCTTTATTAAAAGGTAAATTTTTTTTAGGAGATATTGATTAATATAAAATAATTTTACCAAAAATTTAGTGGAACCTTTAAGAAACATATATTTCTGAAAATTCTTTACTATTTGACGTCTGTATGGGTATGTACATGTATAATAGCAGAGTCCACATAATTTTTGAACAGCCCTCGCACATGTAAACAAGTTACCACTTAACCCAGGACATGTTAGTAACTTGCTGGTTTTGTAACACTTTTTTTCTTAAAATATGTAAAAAGGGTGTTTTATTTCAGTTTTTTTTTTAAATTTGAAATTGTGTTAAAATGCAGTTACTTGAACATTACGTACTTTGACTAGATAAAATACAACCATCTTTAATTTCAGAATATCATAATTTCCAGTGGAGCAGAAAGGGTATGCATTTTTTAGAATTAAAATAAGGATCTGTATTATTCAAATTATGTACATGGATGTACATCAAAGTCATACATGTGATATGTACCGGCGGTAGGCAAAATGTACAGTTTTTTTCGAGCCCATTCATCGTGTACCGGCGGGACACCAAAATTCACGGAATATGAAAATTTGTACAGTTTTTTGAATTTCTCGCTAAATGCCGCCATTTTCCTCTCATTCTCATTCGCTCGACACTGGAAAACGTCACCTGTGTTTGACACTTGACCTTCTGATAATTGTGTAGTGTACACAAACTGTCGCGTGTGAAGGTGTGAATTTGTGAACTGCCAATTGGGATAATTATCTTGCTATAAATCCGTTGGGATAATTATCTTGCTATAAATCTGTATGCCCCTTTAGGTAGCTTTATTTTTAAAGGGGTACTTAATTATAACTGTTAATGTTTCGTAACTTGATTGAAAAAAATTAAGCCAACTTCTAAAGTTGATATACACGACTTAATATACTTGAATCTGACCCAGATCTCCGTAGGTATAAAATATACGATGTTTATTACCATGATTACCGCTGAAATAAAGGATATATAGTTTTAAGTTTTTATGTACTGAAATTTATGTATGATTTTATTTGCTGCTGTTATTTAGAATTGCTGATGTATATATCAGTAATATGAACAAGATGTAAATTGGAGACATTGACTCTCACGTTAATACTATATAAAGCTGGCAAACAAACTGTCATCTAAACTAGTTTAATTTATAGTCGATTCATAAGAACATTGTGATTATAAAACACGATATATGAAATTTTAAAGCATTCAAATCTCCATTACAACTTTTAAAATAAGACATTTGCAACAACATATATTTGTTGGTTTAGAAATAAGGTGCCTTATCAGAAGAATTTAAGCGATATTTTATACCGTTTTTTTTTACCGTTTTTTGATAGGCAGTGTACAGTTTTTTCACCCAAATTCCAGTTTTTTTTATGGCTCCTGTACAGTTTTGTGGTCTCTGACTTATCACATGTATGATCAAAGTTAAATTTCAGTTTGACATGTAATGAGATGTAGACTTCAGAATAATGATATGATCCTAAATTCGCTGTCAAGGAATTTTCGTTACATCTATCTAAATTGCCATTTATTTCTTTTTATTTCACAACTTTGATGAATAAACTTATTTAATAATTTTCTGATGCTCATATTTAATAACTAATGAGGTTTAATGATTGTCAAGCGAATAATCAAACTTGTAATGATTGTTTTTGATGCAATTCAGTGGACAATCTCTGTGACATTTTTTCATATGGTCCGAAGAAATGAAGGAATAGCAGCAGTAAATAACATCAATCCACCTAATTTTCTTGATTCGTTTATTATATACAAATTTATTTATTAAATTTACTGGGTTTGTTAAAAAAATATTAAATATTTTTAAAATTAAACAATGGTTAAATTTTATGCTTGGGGATGTAACATTTCGTGTCAATTTTGTTACGTCTCGCGCACAGCCGCTTTCAGAAACAATAGAAGGAAACTTCGATCGATATGTTCTATTTATAGCAATTAGAGACGTTGTAAAAGATTTACAAACTATGGCTGTGTTCAAATGTGAAAGTATTATTTCAAAAATAATCATCATAATTTTATCTTTATTTTCGTGTCAAAACGTTACGTCTGTATACACGTGTCATACATCAAATACTCGGGTGACCAGAGGACGACATCCTGTTTGTATGACATTTTCTGGTCTCTACTTTCATTTTTGTTGAGACCTGTGCACGTGTTGGATGAGTTCCAAGAAAAAGATGACAGGAGACGCGAGTAGTAGGTAGGTCATTTACATGTTGCGTCTCTCATTTTTGGGGGACCTCATCTTTTTCGGCGATTTAAGGATGTATTTTGAAACATATATAATGCCAGATTTGCGTGTTTGCCAAGAAATAAGAATTAATTTTCTAATAAACTGTAAATATTGAACTATGCTACATTAATATAAGAATTATACTTATTTATTTTCACACCATGGTTGAACTGATTGTGTCCACAGTTACATCACACCCCCAATCAAGTATTACCTAAATCTTTTAATTCAAAAATGTTCATTTACATGTGATTAAATTTCAACTGATTGAGCTTAATTTAATTGTATCAAGTAACAACCATTGTAAACTCTATTTTAGAAAATTTTAGAAAACATCTGAAAATTTAAAAAAGATGTAACTTTGACGTTATTAAGCTACAACAGAATGTGTCATTGTTACATCACTATTTATGAATGTGCATATTTTTTGTTGATTGGCTTCTAGCTGAAAAAAATACCTAATTGGTGTTTTAAGAAGTGCAAAACACACAATAAACTTGAGTGAAATAGTGTGTATTATACATTGTTCTGTCATTCTTTAACTTCATTACATGATGTAACATAGTACACCAGTTTTTGTGTCCAAGTTAAATTTGTGAAAATATCATGAGATCAGTGTTACATCACTATCAAAGTATGAGTATAGATCTTAAATGACTTAATATCCTTGTCAAACTACCTTTTCACCATTTTTTTCTTTTCTTTTCAGGTCACAGAATGGCCACGGATCACTTCTGTGACTCTTTAACTTGGAAAAGATCAAGATTGATCTCTTGACAGAAGATAAAATGACATTTGTGTAGAAAGGGGCATATACAATACAATGTATATTATTTAAATAAAACTGAAAATTTGTTCAATTGTTTACTTATTTATTAAGTTAAAATTTTCTTAAAGTTTCCTGTGATCTGATTCAAAGTAAAAACTTAACAATTAAGTAAATTAAAAAAAAAGTTTGTTGGAAGGCTTCAGTGTCCAGTGTTACATCTCTATATGTTTAAATGAGGCATATAATTTTCTTCCTTTGCCATATGATTATGCAAACTTGGCCAAAAAATGCCCAAATGTAAGTGCAAATCCTTTGATAAAAAATTTGTTCAATTAATTTTAATTTTGGAGGAAATTTTCTTTTCTGTGTGCTGAAGTTTGTGTCCTGTTACGTCTGAAACAGAAGGTGATCTTTTTATGTATTAGTCTTTAGATTTGAGTGTAAATGAGAACAATGGACAGAAATTTGGTATATAAAGGAACAAAAATGAGTGTCACAAGTAAAATATAATTCAGTTGTAATTAATTAATTTGAATTAAACTTGAAGTGTCTCCGTTACATCACTCATTATTAATGAATTAAATTTTAACTGTATTTTAATTGTTTCAAGTGCAACTATCTCGGCCTTCCTATGTGACTTGGTCCTGATACCAATCTTCAATTTGCAACAATTTTTAGAGTGATATCTTAAGTCTGAAATATTGGACACAAAGCTTTGAGTGATGTAACAAAAATTCCTTGACAGTGAATTTAAGATCATATATGACAATGTTTATAAAGTTTAAAGAAATCAATTTTTCTATTCAATAGCTGAAAAGATGGAATATTTAGAAATTCTAAATGTATTTGTTTTTTGATAGGCAATTGAGCTCCGTGGCCCACATGATGTAGCCAATTTGTATCCTTCAGAGATGAATGTCAGAACAAGCATAAAACATTTTTTTACCACTTACCTTTAGTCACATTCTGACAAGTAATTACACCAATGTGTAAATGCGATGCTTCATCGTCGTTTCAAATCCATATCATGTGTATAGTGATGATAACTCAGTAGTATGTGTTACCCGTCCAGTGCAATGGAATCAAACATTTTTTGGTTTGTTCCTCACACGGACTGTTAATATATATAATTATATTTTTTTAATGCAAACAATCAATTCTTTTTTCAGTTTAATTTTATGTACTGATTTATTTTAAAATGTATAAATTCTGGCTCTGTTGCACCAAAAGCAAAAGCAATTGTTCCAACCTACTGATACTTTAATATACAAATGTACTTGTAATTGTATTTGACTATACCCTTATTCTCTTATAGGTGTTTATTATTTATGTGAGGCATTACTATGTTATAGTAATTATTAAGTAATTATTAAAATAAGTGGACTTAAATATGACAATTTAACAACATATTTCAAACTAAATGTAACATTCTCCTATGTGCGTAACTTTGGAAAGTCTGTCCAGCTTTGGTCATCCGACCAAATCGTGGACATTTAAAGTATAAATGTTTTGTACAGATGGTTCCTGTATATCACACGCTAAGTATGCCCATCTTCTTAAAAGTAAACATAGGGAATATAAACTGCATTCCTGAACTCTTCTCAGAGGTTTACTGTTTGGACTCAATGAAGCCCAAGCCAAAAACTCGGTCTCCAGAAGCTGCAGAAGTGTGCTGCTCCACGCAGGTAAGAACAACTTTTATTGGTATGTGACCATATAAATGTAGGTATTATACTTATCCAAATTACTTGAATCTGATTTCTCAAGAAACATTTGTTAAAAAAATTTACTACCCTTGATGTAACTTTGCCCTCCAGCGTGATAGCTAGACCTTGCAACAGTCAATGTTGCTTCATGACTCGTGATATTCCAAATAATGTTGACTGCACAGATATACGTGCACTGTTCACTGTTATATGTCTTTGTGTAAAACAGTCAGTATAATATAATAAACATAGCAAATAGTTAGGATAACATTGAAAATTTTCACTCCAAGAAAACTATGGTCAACAGAGGCTGTAAAGAAAACCACTGTCGAAAGAGGTGCAGCCTCTGTTCTTGGGCTGAAAAGAATCTGGGGGGATAAGATGAGCCATGTGCCCATTCCCATTTTTCGGCTATGCAAGAACATTTATTGGAAAAAATCTCTCAATTGTTCGAATTTACTTAAGCATTTTAATGTTTACCGTAGTTTTCAAAATGATATTTATATTCTAAACAAGCTAAACAGTTGACTTTCAATTACTGTCACAAATGTCTAACATGGGTAAGGACTTCTATTAATTAATCTGCATATTGAGTGTTTACACTTATTGTGGAGATATTATAAAAATGTTAACATCGTACATGTATATAATGATAATGGTGATCTAGAAGCGCTTTTATTTAAAATAAATAAAAACGGGAATAAAAGTATTCAAATATCTATTACAATTTTTATCCGGCATTTTAAATAATTTACTGTAAATAAGTTCTTTACTACATTTACATATTTTATTTCCAGTGAAAAATATGTTATTCCTATAGACATTTCTTATAAAGTAAAACAAAATTAAAACCAAAAAAAAAATCAAAAGATCAGAGCATGATTCGAACACTTTCCTCAATAAGCGCCACTTTAAAGAGCTCCTCGCTAACCACTAGACCACGGAGCCGCACTTACATGTTTATTTAAATAGCATACAGTTCTCTATATTTAGCAAGCGTTTTCGGACTTAGAATTTTTTAATACCACAGTGAAAATTTAAGTAAGTTAACTTAATTTTTTATGTAGAGTGGGTCTTCATACCAAATTTTTGCAAGTGTAAAAAGCAACATCTTTCCATTGCATTTCATTAATCGTTCTCAAAAAAATGGAACGATGACCCACTCTATTTAAAAAATGTAGTTATATCATCCAATTTATGTCAGTTTCTGTGAAAATTGAGCGTGATGCCATTTTGTTGTGTTAATCAGAATCATTTTCGCTGTTACAGTATTCAGGTTTTGTCAAATTTATATGCAAATGGTAATAAGCATTACATTATTTCAACAAAAAGTGAAATTTTTGTAAAATGAATTTATTGATTTTTTATCGATCGTTATGTAGGCATATGGCTCGGCTTATCCCCCCAGTTTCTTTTCAATGTAACCCCAGCTACATACAATATTTATATAATGGTACTGCTATCAATATAGTATTTTCTGGGTATAAGGGTTATTTTTAGGTTTTTAACAGGTTTTTCAGGCAATCTAATTGCTGAATGTTTTTTGGTCCCTGTTTGCCATATGTTAACTTTCATTTTTAACTACTGAGTAAATTTCTCCTGCATTTATTATGAAAACTTTTTCTTTTTATTAAACAATTTACCCTTAACTATTTAGAACCTGTTTTTTTTAAGCCATTTGTTCAAAAGATCTTTATTAATAAGTGGGCTCTTCCATCTATTAAGATGCAGAGCAAAAAATACAACCTTTTGCTCATTTTCACCCACTTTAAACATATATAAATAAAGAAAATAAAATATCTTTTTTTTTGTTAAAATGGAGGTTAAAGGTTGCAATCATTCCTAACCATTAATCCCTGTATTAACAAAGAAAACTTTTTATTGTTTAACATAGCCCACTGAAAAGAGATTGTGTTCTTAAATGGGTTTCAAAGTTTTATACGAAATATGTAGGCTACAAATTGAAAAAAAAAATATATAGAAGCACCTTCATTTAGTGTAGACTCAAATTCATTCACACTTAAAGTTTTGCTTTAGGAGAAATGATTAAACCACAAAGAGGATCCAAAATTTACAAAGAAAGGTATAGGAAAATGTTTAAAAATCTACATAAGAAAAACCCATACATTTGCAAGCATATAAATGAGTTATAGATCAATTTTCTTCAAGAAACTTAACAAGAATGAAGTTATAAAGGAGTTATATAAGGAACATGAGGCTAGAAATTGTCCAAGCTGCTTTCATTTGTACAGATTCAAGTTTGTTCAGATCTTAGTACCCTTGATAGACATTGACCACTAAAAGGGCTAAAAGGTTTAAAGGAAATATATTTTAAATTCCAACAAAGCTACAGAATGTCTAATGTATATGTAGGTATTCTCTTTTATTATGGATTCAAATTTGTTCGTAACATGGCCCGGAGGGTGAGATGGAGCCTCAAAAGGAATTCAAATATGAAGAAAAAGATAGAAAAAATGTAAAAAATAAAAATTTTCTCCTGAATATAGGGCTAAAATTAGTCAAATGTATGCAGTCATCATTATGCATTGAAGAATCATAGTGTGAAGGGGGAGGGGGTGTTTCAAAAGGAAAAAAAATTCTAAAAATAGCTTCAGATTGTCGAATTATTAAGAAAATATCCACTTACAGTTTAACTAATCATTGCCCTTTGGACCAAGTGAAAATACAATAGTCCAAGGATTCTCAAACATGGGAGTAGATTAGAAAAAAGAATGCACAATGTGACTTAGGGGAAAAAAACTTGCATAGTGACAGGTTACAGGGCCTATGGGGCTCTTGTCACTATTACATGTATCAGCAAAGCTTTCTTTCTTTTGTAAAAGTCATTACATTTAATATGTAAAAAGCTTTGAAAATTTGCAATTTTTTTTTATTTGATCAGAGGAAAGACGGGCCTTAAAAGCTGCAGTAGCGCTGTCAATGGGTGACCTTCCAGAGGATCAAAAGTGGGTCAAGGACAAACTGCATGAAATTCACTCTCTAGAGACAACAGAGGAATCATCTCCAAAGAAGCGAAAGCTTGAATGATGTTCACAAGGGCATCTTTTGTATTGATGATCAAAAACAACAGAATGAACGATAGATTTGCAAATTTTTATTAAAATGAAGTAAGAACTCTACAATATATTGTAAATGACAGTGTATGGAGCAATGAAAAAGACGTCTTATTATGAATTTGACTATTGGTTACCTAATGTTGGACTTACAGTAATGGTTTGAATTACTGTGAACAGACAACACATGTAATTGGTTTATTATCAATGTACGGAGGACATTTCAAACTCCCACATTTGGCTAACACACTGTAAAACAGGTGACCATTATCATTTCTTGCACCCCCTCCTATAACCTGCTCAGCGTTCTCATCAACGCATGTATAAAATCCCCTTAATCTGTTGCTGGAATGACTTTCCGATGATAAATATCCATGATACTCTTCTGTCCAGCCTTTTAGACATTGATTTCGCCCTGGAATCATGAGAACGTGTGTGCGTGTTTTTAGTTGACAGACTGCGCAAGGGACATCTGTGTCATCAAAGTTTGGTCCCCAAAAGTTGGTTTCATACTCAGCACCATGTAAATTGGAAGATTCTGAGGCTTTTGTTCGGTTTCCCCACAACACATCAAATGTTAGACATAAAGGGTTGGCAGCCCCTCCCTTTGCATTGTGAATTGTTCCACCTGCTTGACCTATATTAATATAAGAACAATAATTAATAAATCAAATTATTACAACAACTGCCTCATGTAAGTGATTGGTGTAGAAGGAGAAACTGTACAGTTTTTCACTAATGGTCGAAAGGCAACGCATGCATTCATTTTTTTTTTTTTTTGCTTAGATTTTAATCATGGCAGTTTTTTTTACACACTATTTTAAACATTTTATAGGAATTTCATCATGGAGGAAAAATTTTAAGTCATTTATTTTAGCGAGGATATTTACAAGAGCTGTAGATACTATGTTGCAACAAAAAGGAAGTTAAAATAATAAATGCTAACAATTGACATAAAGTGTATTCATATGATCCGAATTCCCTAAAAATTTAATTATTTATAAAAACACCCTTGACTAATCAAGGTCTTTTTCTGCATAGATGTTATAAAAAAATAAATGCACACCTAGTACGTGATGCATAACAAAGTAATAAAATGAATTATTCAGTATGAACCCACATCAACTGAGTGACAGTTAAGAAAGTTTTTTAAGGTTCATTCATACTCTTATAAGAGAGATAACTCTTATTGATTACATAAATGTCTGTTATTTCTTTATAGATTTGACAAGTTGAAATGTTTTTTGTTTGTTTAATTTTGCCCCTCAAGCTATGATAGAATTGTTTGTATTTTACTCATAAAATACATTTCTTTAGGAAAATTTTTTGTTGGAGTGAGCAGAGGGTTTATGAACCTTAATGGTACACTTTTTTCAGGACAAAATTTTTTTGTAATGGTTCATACATCAGATACATTTTTCTTACCAGCATAAACTAAATTTGATCCACTGCTGCAGGTACTTCTACCCCATCTCACATAAGTCGGAGTTCCTTCTAAAATATTAATGATAAGTGCAGTACCGAACTTCAAACATGAATTTCTTTAAAAAAGAAAACGTGATTTTTGTATAAAAGTTGATTATTTTGAAGGAATTTTTTTAGATCACCAGAGTCTCTCATGTACGGAAGCCCATTTAGGACCCATCAAAAAATACTTTTGAATTCGATATAACGAATTGTCAAATTTGTTAAAACTAATTTAAGTCGTTATATTATTTATTTTTTTATAATTTAATCTCATAACAAATTTGTTGCATTTGTTATAACAAATTAAAAAAGAATTAACAGATTAAATTCATTAAATCGAAATCTATAATTTGTTATAACTAATTAATTTCGTTTGAATTTGTAATTTGTAACCGGTATATCGGATCATACAATTATATTGTGTACACTTACTTGATCTTGTATCGTCGTTACTTTTATTATCCTGGGTGATCGCTTTGTTTACACAATCATTTGTCTTCTTCCATTCCTCCACCTCTTTTTATTAAATCTTTTAATGTCTTCTCAAGTGACATTCTGATCAAAGTTTCTTGGTTTAGTAATTGTCTGACAGCATCGAGTTCTTGCTTCACATCAGAATACTTACAATCCACGGGTGTAGAGCTGTTTTGTACAGAAAGTTCCCCATTAATAACTGAACAGGAGCTCAAATAGAAGAGGATCGGAATTAAAATCAGCTCCATTGTAACCATCATTTACAAATTTTGTGGAAAAATTACTATACACATGTATATTTATACTTGTCACAGTATGACACTACTTTGCAGTAATTGAGACCAAAGCATTTTGTAAGATGCATTTAAGTATTTGTTTGAAACATTTTGTTGTAAAGTGGAAACCATGGATCGCATCGCTCACCTGAATAATATTTTCTTCATTGCATAATACACCCATATGGGTCAAGCAAGACAATCCATCATGATGAAAAAAGAGAATAATTAATGTATATATGCAATAGACGCAATTTAAGCAATTTACTCCTTAAAATATTACACCGATGTGGACCCTTTATTTCTTAATTCTAATGATTGTTTTATAAAAGTGCAAACAGCCGGTATAACTTAAAGTGTTAGACTAAGTTATATATTCAAGTTTCTGTATAGGTGATTTGAGATAGAATGATGAAGAATTATCTAACATGGTTTTTATAAGTATATTTCTAGCTTGTATATTCAAATTACATTGTAAAAAGAAATGAAATTCATCATCAACAGCATTACATGAAGCACATAATCTTTGTTGTCGAGGTATTTCTTAAATCTTTGTTGTCGAGGTATTTCTTATGTCTACCAGTTTCTATCAGTAGGTAGTGGTCACTTGTTCGAAATTTAGTTAGCAATTGTCTATTCTTGAAACTACATTGTATTTTCAAGCATAAGAAACTCTTCTATATTGAGGTTGTGTTTTATTTTACTGTACAAGTATAGTTTGGAGTTTTCTGTGAATTTAGACAATTTTTCCATAGTTTTGTCTTTATAAATAATTAATCTAGTACTATTTTCTTCACCTGCTTTTTACTGAATTTCGAATGTTGTCAAATTTTTCATCTTTTTAGCTCACCTGAGCCGAAGGCTCAAGTGAGCTTTTCTGATCGAAATTTGTCCGTTGTCTGTCGTCGTCGTTGTTGTCGTAAACTTTTCACATTTTTACCTACTGGACTAATTTCAATCAAACTTCGCACAAAGTATCCTTGGGTGAAGGGGATTCAAGTTTGTTCAAATGAAGGACCACGCCCTCCTCCAAGGGGAGATAATTATGGCAAAAAAATTATAGCAAAAAATTAATGGCATTATTGAAAAATCTTCTTCTCAAGATCCAATGGGCCAGGAAAGATGAAACTCCTGGACATCAAGCAGTCAAACTGCTGGCATGATTGTTATGGGCATTGAGTCCTCTACCGAAATTATGAAATTCATGGCCCCTGGGTTAGGGGTTTTGGTGCTAGGGTGGGGCTCTGTTGAACATATAGTGAAAATGCATTATTTCTTTAAAAAAATCATCTCCTCTGCTCCTTGCTATTAAGGAAACAAATTCAATAGATAGTTATGATGAGGAAGTGTGCTTCTTCCAAAATTGTGAATTTCATGGCCCCTGGGTCAGGGTTTCTGGTGCTAGGGCGGGGCTCTAATGGTTATATAGTGAAAATGCATTAATTCTTTGAAAATCATCTCCTCTGCTCCTGGGTACTAGTGAAACAAACAAAATGCATAGTTATGATGAGGAAGGGTAACTCTTCCAAAAATGTGAATTTCATGGCCCCTGGGTCAGGGGTTCTGGTGCTAGGGCGGGGCTCTAATGGTTATATAGTGAAAATGCATTAATTCTTCGAAAATCTTCTCTGCTCCTGGGTACTAGTGACACAAACTAAATGCATAGTTACGATGGGGACGGATGCCTTTTCCAAAATTGTGAATTTCATGGCCCCTAGGTCAGGGGTTCTGGTGCTAGGGCGGGGCTCTAATGGTTATATAGTGAAAATGCATTAATTCTTCGAAAATCTTCTCTGCTCCTGGGTACTAGTGACACAAACTAATGCATAGTTACGATGGGGACGGATGCCTTTTCCAAAATTGTGAATTTCATGGCCCCTAGGTCAGGGGTTCTGGTGTTAGGGCGGGGCTCTAATGGTTATATAGTTAAAAATGCATTAATTCTTTGAAAATCATCTCTGCTTCTAGGTGTTAACTAAAGTAACTATGTACATAGTTATGGTGAGGAAGAGTGCCTCTTCCAAATTTGTGAATTTCATGGCCCCTGGGTCAGGGGTTCTGGTGTTAGGGGCAAGGATAGTCAAATGTATTAATTCTTTGAAAATCTTCTCTCCTCATGGGTATTAAGGAAACAAACTAAATGCATAATCATGATGAGGAAGGATGCCTCTTCCAAAATTGTGAATGATGTGGCCCGTCGGTCAGGGGTTCTGTGAAGAAGGGGGGTATTTAATACATACTGAAAATAAAATGTTCTTTTCCTTCCGTGTATAAAGCAAACAAACTAAATGAATAGTTATGATGAGCAAGGTTGCCTCTTCCAAAATTGGGAATTTCATGGCCCCTCAGTCAGGGGTTCTGGTAATTGGACAGGGCTCTATTGCGTAAACAGCAGAAATGCTTCTCCAACAAGCAAACAGACTAAATGTAATAATATAGATGTAAATGTTTATATATAAATATAAGTTAATGTGCCTTTTCTCTGCTCCTGGGTATCTAGGAGGCAGAGTACAAAACTGTAATAAGTGAAGCAAATGAGAGTTACTTCCCTTTGCTAAATTTTGTTTAATCAAGAAATTCTTCTGTTTTATTTATTTATTATTTTATTTGATTGAATGAGAATACAAGAAAGAATTTTATATATATTGAAAAAAAATAAATGTTTGGTTTAAACAAGCAAAGCATGCTCAAAGTCAAATTCTTGCTTGGCAAGCAATATAAAAGACTGACATAAAGATTATTTATGTAGCAAAGGGCCAGTTGTACTAAGTACGTGTAGGGGTGGGTGTCCTGTTTGATGATAGAAAGAGTTATGGTCAGTTTAATTCATGGAGATCAGAGTTTAGATTGCTAGAGTCTTCTTGAAGTTGCGAGTGCTGGTAGCAAGTATTACTAAGTTTATTGTATAGCCAAGAGGAAAGTGTTGGTACCAAGTGTTACCAAGTGGCAAGCAGCTAAGTTATTTGTGTAGCCAAGAGGCATCACCTCAAGTAAATACACAGGCATTAGAGATTTTAATTGTAGCACTAGGCAAGTGACAAAAACAATATCTGTACATATTGAATACCTTATACACTAGGCAAGTGTCGATTATATTTATATATTTTGAATTCATTATCATCCATGTAAGACTTGGACAAACCAAGTACGATCCCAAGGAGATCACGCTGGTCTTACTTGTTACAATAAGTAAGGGTACTTTTACCAGATTTTTGAAATTTTTGGGCAAAATAGGTTCAATTATTAGTTAATTTTGTTTTATTCTTCTGTGGATCATTTACAGTATTGTATTTTACTCAGGTGACTGTTAAGGTCCTTAAGGCTGTTTTAAGTAATGGATCCGAGGCCCCGAGTCCCATTGCTTTTAAGGAATGGTGCGCTATGAGCATATTGACCCGCTTAAAATCCACTTTTGAATGCTTGTAATTATTGTTTGTCAATATAATAAAGATATAATTATAAGATACACTGTAAATATACATTTAACGTATTAGTAGTATTTAATTAAATATAAGAGAGAGAGAGAGAGAGAGAGAGAGAGAGAGAGAGAGTACGGTGTAGAAAATGTTATGTAGTTATTTAAATCCCCACCAACTTCGATAGCTTAAATTAGTAAGATGAAAGGAAAGGTACCGAGTTCGACTCTCAGACGTGCTACAATTTTTTGTAGCATGAAAATATAACTTTATTTAAAATTTTCTAAGTTCTTGCCCAAGCAGAGGCACTGATGGAGGACAGATTATTTATCTTCCTCAATGATAAATTAAAGTCTGACATAAAAGAAGGAAAATAACCAAACTCAAACAGAACAGATAGTGAACTCTTACACAAGAAAAATCTCTTGTGCTTTGGTGAGCTAAAAATTCTATCCATATTATATTGGTTTTAGTTTTTACAGAAGGAAACACTTCTCATAATACTTAGAGGTTATTAACTTTGAAGATGTTTACGTCTGGTACGGTGAGTAAGAAATTGAAGTAATCGACGCTGAAAAAGAATAGAAAATGCATACTTGATATAATTTGCACATTTTATTGCATACATATACATACAAAGGACAAGAAAGAAATAATGTAAAAAAAAAAAAAAAATCAGCTAAATCTATCAAATCATAGATTTATTAATTGTAGAAAATTTAAAGTATTTGATATCATAGGAGGAAATGAAAGTAAATGAGAGCTAAATAACCCTCTCAATACCTACTATAATACAACTATTCAACACTGCTTAGGAATAGTCAAGAATTTGTCTTATAAAAGTATGATACATTTCACTGAGATTATTTCTACTCGAAGTAAATTTAGTTTAAGCTTCTTTGGAAGGCACACACACTTAACAACTAAACCTTTTGATGACTTCAACATTTTTACCGTAAATTTCCCTCACTTATGTAGCAATACAGTTATCACATGCATACTGTGTTATTGTTTCCCAGCTGATTCGATACGCAAAGGCATATTCAAAGCCGTGACAGACTGAAGACAAATAATTTGATGGTTTCTATGCAAAGTGTTAGGCATTTATTTTTTCTACTGAATTGTCTGTGAATATTTTTGTTTACCTGATCATGCATGGCAAGGGGTCCATGGTGAGTATGACACGTCGACAGGGAAATCTCATTCTTCTTCGGCATCTGATTCCAACTCTCATTTTTTCAGGGACCGCATTTTTTGTGCTCTCAGTATGTAATGCTAAACTGGATTTTTTTTAGCATGATTACTGTCGGTATAGCTTCACATTTGATTGTTGCGTTTTCTTATGAACATCCCTAAAAATGCATTGAAATATTCTTCCAAAATATTTGCAACAGACACTTTAAAATTAAAACATAGCATCATGCTTTGACTTGACTCCTCTGGAGTTGATGATACACTGGGTACATATATCTGATAAGTATCAGAATATCATGAACATTATCACCTTTTCAAGACTAGAAAGGAGTCAAGATTATTGCTTTCAGAAAATGTTTTACTCCTGTTTTACAATT